CAAAACAAATCTTCCAGGGCAACATTTTTTATCTGCACAATTGCTGTTATAAAGACAGCTGTAAAACTAATTTCATTTAAAAAAAAAAAAAAAAAATCTCTTCACTTTTCAAATTTTTCCCTATACCAAAATTACAATTTTAGTTCATAAAGCCAACAACAGGTTTTAAAATCAAATTGAATGGACAGTTATTTGCTTGAATAAAACCAGGTAAACCTACAATTGTTGAACTGTTGAATGGAGATTCAACTGCAAAAATGTCACTTATTTCCTGTTTTGATCCAAACTTTTGTTAGTCATTTGTGTGATTCGGTAAATTACTGACTGTTTAAAGAAGTGAAAGAAAATAATAGTTTCTTGACGCCAACCCTTTTCTCTTCCTGTTTTATCTTTTGGTTGTTGCTACTCAGCCTTGATAACAAAAATTATCTTCCCTCACCCCTCTCTCTTGGCATATCAATATCTTAAATTACTAAAATGAAATTCTGTCTGGATATGCATATATATATATATTTTATTTATAAACACATATTACATACTTCATTAGCAAAAATCAAAAGGTAACTTGAAGACTAAATTAGGAAAATGTTTTTGATCTCACACATGTACAGATAAGTGTTTCTTCTGAATTGTTATTAAATCTTTAAAATGAATGCTTTGTATTTTAAATAGATCAACTGGATTACTTTTCAAAATAGTTTCATTGAAATGTTTTGAGAAAAATACTGTATAAATTTCAAAGTAGATTCAAGTGTTTATGACAATCCATTTTGCTTTGCGTGAACTTATTTCCGAATATGAAACTTCAAACTTTGAACAGATGTCTATATGTAAATATAGCAATTAGGTTTTGTTGTGTTGAGTAAATACAAAAAGGTACACACACACACACACACATATATATATATATATATATATATATATATATATATATATATAAATAAGTAATAGTTTATTCTAGAGAATAATATAGTACACGGTTGAGAACACAGACTAATGTAATAAACAGTTAATCATTAACTGCTCTCCCCTAGTAAGAGCGAGTGTTGATTAAATAGACTTAGACCAGTCTATCTGGGGTGGGGGGTCAGCTACTCCACAACAAGTTTCAAATGCTCTAATTATTGCAGTTATCACTGTTTTTCCAAAGTCAAGATGAAAGAGTTTTGTTAATCTTTAAACTTTATCTTTTAATTTTTTCCCCACCTTTTCTGCAGAGGATATTTTTGGTAGGAGTGAACGGCTTTCTTAGCTCTGTTGTCTTTTTGGATTTCATGCTTTTCAAAAACTTCAGAATTATTAGATAATGGTTTTTGTTTTTTTTTTTTTTTTTTGTTTGGGTTAATACTAAAGTTTGCACAATACAAGGCTTAAGATGCACTCAAGATAGAGGGTTACTAAATGAAGTGTGTAATATGAATGTAAGAGAAGGTAGAAGGGAGTGAAGATTAGAAGGATAGATAGTAATTGACCCTTGTGTTGAAGAGGTTAAGATTGTAGTGTTGAGGGAAGCATCCCTGCAGGAGACTGTTCTACACAGTGACGGTTCATAGGGAAACAGGAAGAGTGGGAAGTTCTCCTTACAAATGAAATAGAGGAAACGTAGATGATTCATCTCTGTGGATGTAACATAGCAAGTTTTTGCTGTAATGGTTTGAATTGGTGGAACTAAAGAGTAGAAGTCATTTAAACATTTACCATAGAAATAGTGATAGGCAAACAGCATTGGAAAGGATTGTGGGGTCAAAAATAAATCATCCCTCCTACAAGACTGCTTAAATGTTTTTGAATTCTATCAAGGTTGAAAAGTGAAAACTGGGCAGATATAAATATAATAAATATAAATATATATTATAAAATTTAAATAAAAGGTTCAGTTTGGGATTAACTGTAGGTTATCCAGATTGATATACACCTGATGAAGGTCAGAGGACACAACAGCCAAAACATTGTGATAGCAACAACAAAGATGAGGAGAATAGTCTACATGTAAGTAGTGTAAATTATGATTTCATGTTAATATATGAGAATAGATGGGATTTGAATTTGTTGTTCTTTTGTAAGTTGCCTTTTCTGAACACTGATTTCCTAACAGAAATGTTTACAAATGTTTGCAGTACAAATGTTTGTCTGGATCTTCAATTCTGAATGTTTCATTTTTGAACATTTGTTTCATTTTTGTCTTCTGAACTGCAATTTTAAAACTTTTATATACACACAAACACACTTTGAAAATAATTTCTAAGATTTATGTAATCTTACAAGAATTCATCAAATGCCTTCCATGTCTGCCATCACATAACTCAAGGATAGTTTGAGCTGTTGTCACTAAATTTTCTCTGGTTACTAATGGGACACCAAAACATTTTTTTGCATATTCCAAAATATTTTAAGCTTTTAGTAAGGGGTTCAATTTACAATGGAAGCATAATGCTAAACTGGACACTTACTTCATGTCCATAAGCAAGTTTTTATCTTTTTACTTAACTGTATAAAGCAGACATCTAGCTGCAAATTTCCTAGGCAGAAACTAAAATTGTGATCCCTTTTTTTCTTTCTCTCTATTATAACATAAAGACTAATGACTCTGACATTTATAAAAATGAAACCAAGTTCACTGTTATGTTTGTGGTTAACACTACAAACAAAAAAGGGGAGATAACTTTATGGTGAAAATTTGGATACATGAAATTAATTTTTGAAATCTTCAGAAATATGTAAATTAAATATGATCCAAAAGTTTAAGATTAAGATTTTCAAATATGATACAATTCAATAAATCCATAATTTTTTATTAGAACCCAAATAGTAAACTTCAATTCTCATGCTAAATAGGATGGAGATAGAGATTGATATATATATATATATATATATATATATATATATATATAAATCCCAAATTAAAAAACTGTTCCCGCCAAAAAAATAATAGTTAGAATGAACTACAACAACCAACCCCAAAATTGAACAAATAGCTTTAATTAAATTCTCAAACCAAAACAAAACTGTTAAATACGTGATATAAACAAATTTTTACTACGTTAATAAATAAATAAATAAAGAAAGAAAAAATAAAAATAAAAAAATAAAAACGAGCAATATAATTTGACCCAAATAAATAAACAAAGCGACTTCCAGTAAAAATAACCGCCATAATAGAATACCCACAATGCACCACTAACCCGTATATATATAAATAGCCGAGAAAAATAACAGCATATGTGGCCTGACGATTGCATATAGCATGAAACAGACTGTCACCTCTAAGTGTTGACTTCTATGTTTGCTTTTATATTTACACACGCTCTCTCTGATATTGAGCACTTTATCCCATAAATATAGCACACCTTAAGACTATATTTCTTTATATATATATATATATTTATTAAAGACATTTTTATGTTTAACGTTCTTTTTTTATCGATACAAGTATTTAAGTAAATGCTCTGTTTATAATAAACAGTATTAAATAACATTTACCGGCCTGAATGTCCGAGAAATTTTCATAGAAAATATTCGTTCTTTGACAGGATTCGAACCTGAATCCTATACGGAACCGTCATTTACGCTGACGTGCCTACGTCAGTGTAAATGATATATATTTGATTAGTTAATATCAAGCAAAGTATCTATTCTAAAGAACATTTTTAGAATAATTAATGTTTAAAATGTATGGTTGTTAGGGATTTTTTTTGCTTTTTGTTTTAAATACAATCATTAAAATGTAATTCTAAATTTATTACAAATCTCTCAAGACAAAAAAACTCTTTTAACAGCAGACATTACATTTAATAAAAAAAAGAATTCATTATCAGAATGCTAGAATAACAGGTTTACCTCTTATCTCAAAGAAAATGGATCTTATCACCTCACATTAATTAGTGACTACCTTGAATTTTTCTTGAAGAGAAAAATGCTGAATAAGAATTAACACTACCAAAAGGCTAGAACATTTAGGCTAACAAATTCTTCTCTTGCACTTCTCACTTATCAAACTCTCTTCTGGCTTTTTTTGTTTCATGTCAACTACAAAAATTTAAATGCAACATTAGTAGCCATTTTCTATGTTCTTGAACCCTGTCCTTTTATTGTCCTTCTCTCTCAATGTCTTTCTCTCTCATCTTAGTGGCTTTATTGCCTTGCTTGGGGTGAAATGATTAAAAAATAACTTATTAAATCTTAAATCTTTTGCAAGATTTTCAAAGTTCAAGCTTAATAATGTATAAAGTGATTTTTTCTCTCAGCCAAGAAAAAAGCCTGTGTGTCAACCCACCCCGTCACTACTATTAAAATATAAATAATTGTCCTAATCAATAAGAACAACAAGTTGCCAATCAACACAGCTTTAGTTAACACTTGATTGGATTGCACATTTGTCTTTATTTTAATTTATAATTTTAGTATTACTGGTCATACTGTATTCTTTAGTAATTTTGATACTTCTGAGAAACTAATGAAGTGAAAACTTCATTTTCTACTGGAAATTTTTCTGTTAAATATGAACTTTCTTTTCTATATCACTCAAATGCAAATGTCTGCATAAGAAATCGTGTTAAGGCTTTCTCTGCTACAATGAATTTTACTCTAGTAACTAAAATAAAACTCTTGCAATATTAATATCCCAGTTGTTTGTTATACCCACAATGTACTTTCCACCCCTTATAAATATTTAAATACGCAAGCTTCACAAGTTAACACCTATTTTTATTGCACACTTGGAGCTGTTTTCTTGTGCATTGTTATCAGTGCATCAGATACAAATTATACAATATTTAAAATTATGAGGTCAGCCATCTTGAAAACAAACTCATTTGGAATAATAAAGTATCTGGGCCATGTAACTTTGGTACAAAATCTACCAGGATTTGATTCCTTTTTTTTTTTTTTTTAATTTTGGAAAATATTTTTTAAATTTGAGTTTTTCAATAAGACTTTTATTAAAGAGGAAAAAAATGATAAATTTTAATTTAAAAAAGTTTTTCTTTTTTTTCTTTTGTTAGAACAAAAAGATATTCGTCAGAAAAAGAAAAATCTCCAGCAACAACTGAAACATGAAGAGCAGTTGGTAGCAGCTGCAAAAACCTGGAACAGTGAAGTCCTTCCTAATTGGGAAGTTACGTGAGTAGAAACTCTCATTTGGTAGCCATTTTGCTCACATGTTTACTCGTGCCATACAGCTGCATCTTGATTGTACAAAAAATACAACTGTTGTGACAATTGATCTAAATCTTTTAACTTGAATCACTTGTAACTCTCTTTCTCTTTCATTTAATTCTACCAAACTTCCATTTCACCCAACCAACTCTTGAGTTATTGCAGATAGTCCATATAAATACTTTAATTGGTAGCAGGAAGTCTGGTGGCTGAGATAGTTGCATACTTCCTGTCAGTATTCAAACCAAATGAAAATAAAGATTTTTATATTTTGGAAAATTGATGCAACACAACCAGTGCTCCCCCTTTAACTTCATATTGTACCTGACTAAGCCAAATATGAAGAATACTTTTGTTTTGTCTACCAATTTGTAAAAGACAGTCTTCTGTCACATTTTGTAGGTGACTGGCACCTCATTTTATTTTCATTTTCTAAAAATAAAAGCCACAAGTAAATGTTTGATTCCCCCCCCCTAAAAAAAAAACTGCTCATTAAGTATTGCAGATATTGATTTAACAAACTTCTATTTATATAATTTGCCATATTTGCAGCCAATAATCTTTTATTTGTTGCTTTGGAAGTGGCACAACAGTTCCCAACATAATTCTAGCTGAGGCTATATAATTACTTAGTACTAATACCCTTAAAAAAACATGAAATTAATTTTCCCTCTTGCCATGATGGTTTATAATGAGTAACAATTTGGACAAACCCTTTTCCCATAACTATTTGCTCAGATTCAACCTTGGCAGGAAACAATCAGACTGCATTAAAGATTTATTTGTTCTTACTCTTAGACTTGATCACCTTGTTTCATCATTTGGAGGAGATCCATACCTATCTCCCCTTTTTTCTTATCTCACAATTTTATTTATATATAAAACAAGGACAAATATTAAGTTTTCTGTAGTATAACTCAAAAATCTTTCAATTCATGATAAGTTATTTGTCTAGATATGTTTATATTTTTTTCAAATTGTTTATTTCTCTGAAGATAAATATGAAATGAACAACAACATTAGGCAGGATTTGCTCAACAACCTCTCAACATAGTTTTCTTCATTTAAGATTCTCCATAGATTAATGTTTTCTCAACATGATAAAACATACGATATAAACCTTTAATATTTTTAGCTTCTAAAACCTCTTTCTCTTAAAGGATCATTCTTAAAAAAAGGATTAAACAAAATAAATTTTCCCACCGCTGTAATGTAGCTTCCCTCTGCCTTTTCTATAAATATTTTTAGGCTAATTGTTCTAATGAGCTTTTCTCTTTGGTACTTTAAAAAATTTAAGCACAGTACTCAATTGGCAGTTAGGTCTCATCATTTTACTAGATGTAACCATAAATCCTATGCCAACAGTTTCTTCTCTCACACTTCTCACTTGTAGAAATCTCTTCTGGCTTCTTGCTTTACAACCAATTTTGATTTTCAATAATTTAAATGCAATGTCAATCATCATCTGCTGTCTCCTTTTTTCCCATTTTTGAAAAAAAAAATTTTTTTATTGGCCTCTCTCCTTAATGTTTTTTTCTCTGATTCCCAGTAACCCCTTGTGTCTTTGTGGCTTTATTACAATGCTTGGCATGAAATGATCTTAAACAAAATTAGATTTTAATCAGTTAGTGTAATTAAGGAAATATTTTTTAAATTTTACTTCTGAATAATTTTTGCTTCAATTTTGCATTGCACTAATTAGCAATTGACTGCTAATTAATTTTTTCATCTATTTTGCCTAATTTTATAATAATGAGTTAAAATTGTATGTGAATCTTGATTCTGTTTCTTTTGTTAGCCACATGTTGACTTTTGCTTGAACAGAAGCAAATTGCCAACATTTTTACTTAAATTGTCTTTGAAATTTCAAGATTATACAATTACTTGACAATTTTTATCATTTTATCCAAAATAGTTGACATAAAGTGAAAATATCAAAAAACAAATGTTATTATTAATTCCTTTATTTTAATCTTTGTAAGAAAACCTATCTATAGAAAATGCTTTATTTTCCTTTCAGAATTGCTGGAATTTTTTTTTTTTTTCTTGGATAGTAAAACTAATTTTGACTTTTTGCTTCATTTGAACATTTTTGTAAATTAAATTTTCTTTGGAGTCAAAATAAATTTTCTTTAAATTTTTGCAATTTTGTAATACCTGATCAAATATTTTTATTCTCTCTGAATAAAACAGTGTTGATATTTTTGTCAGTTACAAAACTTATTGCTTTGCTCATGAAAAGAAATATTACCCACTCTTGTGCTGTTTGGTTTTGGAGCTTGGATTCTTTTATTCTAGGGAATGTGTGTGCAAAGTTTAATTCATTTTAATTTTGCATCTTTTTAAAACACTAATTGAGTAGAATAATTTTAAAATTTAAGATCTTAGCTTTCCACAATCGCTGATGAGACTACAAAAAAACACATTTTTCTTTTGCCTTTGAAGCTGATTTTCAGAAAATTAATTCTAAAAAAAACAAAAGATAAAAATGTGAAGTGTATTTTAAATTAAATGAAAAAATTTTAAAAAAACTTTGAAGTTCTTAATAGAGCAAAAAAATGTGTATGCTTGCATTCATTTGAAAAGGATTTGGTTTCATTTTAAGTTTATTTATGCATTAGAATCAAAAAAATTTGACAATTTGTGCAAAACATTTCTTCCTTTCAAAGTAAAAAAAAAAAAAAAAAAATAGTAATTGGAGAATCCACCATTTGCATGACAAAATCTAAGAATATTCCTCCCTCCAACATCCTCATTTTTTTTTCTAAGTTATTTCTGATGCTTGTAATTTGTCAACTTAATCAATTTTTTCCTGCTCCAAATTTCCTTTGTAATTAACCTTGGCAGACATTTTCCCTTTGCCTGACTCATCATCCTGCAAACAGAAATGAAGAAATGAGTCTTTCCTCTCTAATAATATTCAAAATTTAATAATTAAAATATTTAGCATGTAAAGGTTTTAGAGACATGTCAAAAAGTTGCACTAGAGGATCAACATCAAAACAGCTGCCTCCAGAAAATAGTTGCCTAAAATAAAATCTTAAAAGTTTAGAAATGTGTGAACGTAGTTATAAAAAAAAAACAAACAAAAAAAAACAGATCATGAAGTATAAAAAGAGGTTTGTAGGTTTGAGTAAATTAAAACCTTCAAATATATTCCGTTGCAAGCTAGAAATGACTTTGCAACAGGTTGTAGTCAGTTAACTCAGAATGCCAGTCACAGATAATCTGTTGTATTTAATTTGCTGAAGAAATTTTCAACACCAAGTAACACTTTTTTATCTTGAGAACTGGCACAAAACTTCCAGCATGGTATCTCTGTAATCTATTTGCATTTTATTTAATTTTGCTTTTTCTCTAATCTCATTTCTTAAATGCTTTGGGCAAACAAATTCTTCTGATAATCTTTTCCCTTATAATCTTCAGCTTCTCTTATACAAAAAATGATGCCTCAAGGTTTTTAATATTTCATTACTTTTCATTTTTTTTTTTTTTTTTTTTTTTTTTTAGAGAAGAAAGTCATAATTTCTTTAGGCAATTTGCAAATGTCTTTTTTTCTACAATATCCGATCATTTGTTTCTACATTTTATGGTGAATTAATAAACTTTAGAACTTGTTCAAATTTCATTTTTGTTAATCTCTTTATTCTTAACTCTTACAATCAAAATTGTTTGTGCAAAGGTTAAAATATTTTTTTTAATTCTTCTAAACCACTCCAAGAATGTGCCCATTCCCTTTATTTTTAACCATTTCAGTTCATTACAAACATTCAAGAGACAATTTTGTTTGCTGTATATAATTAAAAAATATTTTGGGAAAAAAAAATATTTTGATTCTGGATTATCCATGTGGATATTAATATACTAAGGAGCGTATTTAATCAGATGAACTAAACCCTGATTTGTATATCGTATTACTTGAAAGATTGACTTGCTATAATAGCTGCTTGAGTCTTTTGGCAATGAATAAACAGCCAAGATGTGCCTGCAATCTATTTACAGATCTAAGAATTTGGAGTTGCATGTTTGCTTAAGTGTTTGGGTTGTTCACTCAACTGCTGCAAAAAGCAGTTGTTGACATTCATTCACAAAAGTTAAGGCAAGCCAATGTTAGTTGCATCTTTTTTTTATGTTCCTCATTCATAAAATGAAAAATGAGATTCATAGATTTTCACACTGGTTTTCATTGGTAATCTTTTCAGTTATCATAAAGTGAGAAAAGATTGCAGCATTTCTGAAATGAAGATTTTTCTTTAAATTATTTTTAATCTTTCTATTAATACAATCTTTGGCCATCTTCAGTTGTATCTGGTTTCTAAAATATTCTTTTTAGTCTCAAAAAGAACATCACATTCCAACAGCACACAGCTAAATGTTAACTATTGTTAGTAGCATTTATGTATAAAGAAGCAATATTAAAAGTTGTCTTTTTGTTACATTGCTCTCTCTAATAGGAAGTTAAAACTGAAGATATTTCGTTTTGGATGTCATTTTAGGACAAATTGATAAAATTAAATATTGAACATGTTCACTTGAACAGAAAATTTTTACTTTTGTAAATCCAAGGTGGTGATGACATAGTTTTAAGTGAACATATTTGAAATAATTTAAAGTTAATTTAACCTCTATAGTCTGTTTTCTTCTTTCTTGAAATTTTGGTCAGAAAATATTAATTGAATAGCTGCAATTTCAAACACTAAATAGACTGTATTATTCTGGCTGATAAGAATTGGTTGAGGATACAACTCAGTTTTCATTCACAAAGGATTTGATGATTGGTCAGATGGTGGTTGAATTGTTTATATTTATTTAATTAAATCTTCCTTACTCCCCTTGATCCATATAAATTTGGGTGTACCAGTGACTGATAATTTTTCCTTTTTAGGAAACAAACAAAACGGGCGCGTGATTTATGGTGGAATGGCTTACCCCCCAGTGTACGAGGTCGCGTATGGAAACTAGCAATTGGAAATGAATTAAATATTACCTCAGGTAAGAACATGTTTTATGTTTTTAAGTAGTAAGACAGTTTTGAAAACATGTGGTAAGATTTACACTGTGCTTATAAGCATTTTTCTTAACTAAAAGCCTTATGCCAAAATGTCATGAAGTCACAAGAAGTTTTTCAATTTCATTTTGTCAGCGCTCTTATCAGCTGCAAGGAATTTTGTTGTCAGTTTCTACAGCCTCCATCTTTGACATGAAAAGTCCAAAAAAACCATTAATCTTTCAAATATTAACAAAGCTTCACTACAACAGGTAATCTAGTTGTTGTTGTTGTCAGTTATATTGTTGACAAAAGTTATGTCCAATTATTGAGGTTAACTGCCATATCACTAGTTATGTCTTGGATGGTTAATTTAATTCCTTGTAACTAAATTGTTTGCACTTATAGAATGTTTTGAATATATTAGTTTGATACTAAAACCTGCTTTAGTACAAGTCGGATTATAGCAAATTCTTTCAGACAAGAACTATTACGCCTCTGAACTGTTAAGTCGTGTACCAATGTTACAATGGTCACTCATTTTTGTACCAATTTAGTTGCAATTAATATTTTGCTATTAAAAACCGTTTTTAAAATAGGACACAAGACTCGAGAGCCACTCAAGGTAGAGGTTACTTTTAAAACATTTTAAATGAATTGTGATATAAATTAGGAGGTGTTAATAATTGAATATTATGAGGATAAACTCTTGCGAGACAATTTTTTTTTTTGTTTTTTTTTTTAATACTATAAAAACAAAAATTTTAAATTTTCATTTTCATCCTTTCAATGTGGATATGAGTTAGTTATTTTTCACCGACATATGCTTTTCTTTTACAACTCTCAATTGTTAAGCAATTAATCAGGAAGAAATTGGTAAATGCACCTCCTCAGTACCTGATCACTGGTAAAATTCCACAGATGTTTGGATTTCATTAAGATATGAATTTTTAAGTTTTATCTTTACTTTTCTGGGTGAAGAAGCTGTTTATCACAATGCAAAATATTAGGCTATTTTCTACTTATAATATTTGAGATGAACCTTTTGAAGATTGCAATTTTTAATTATTTTATTTAACACTAGAGCTAAGTCTGCATATAATACAATATATCAAATAACTTTTTGTTCTTTTTTAATTTAATGCTACTTGCACTGCCAAAAATAGTCTGAGGTGAAAGGTCAAAATATAGACTTAATAACAAGTCAATGATAATACAGAAAAACATTTTGCCTTTTTATAAACAGGATACAATTGCAATTTTGAATGACAGACATTTGTGAAATCAGCAAAGACATTAGTTTTCTTTTGGTTTGATTATTCTTTAAAGAAGATAATAAATTAATTTTAATTTATCTCTTGTTAAAAAAAAAAAAATTTTGCTTAATTATTTCTTTAAGGCAATTTTAACATCAATAAGAAGGTCAATAAAGAAAATTTATTTGATTTTTCCAAATGTTTTCATTTTGATTCTTTCACTTTTCATTTCTTTCAGAGCTCTATGAAATCTGTTTGAATCGTGCCAAAGACAGAATCAAATTATTAAGTGAAGAATCTCATGGCTTTGCAGAAAGTAAGTGTGACATCAAACAGTTTTCTTTATGTCACAAACTGACATTTTATACATCAAGGTAATGAGTGAAGTAGGTTGCTTAACACACCACAGAGGCAATTTGAAGAGAAATACAAGTAGGAAAATTTGTTATTCTAATCTTTCAAATGGGGAGAACCTGCCTTGAAATTCTGCATTCAAAATGTTATCATTTAGCTATTAATAAAGGCGTTCTTTTTTAACTTTAATGTTTAATCTGTTCAATACCATGAACAAGATAACTTATCTTGGGAGTATAATGTAATTTTTGTAAAGTACATGTTAATTCATAGCCGGGTAATGTGGGAACATATGAATTAGCTGGAAGAAATATTCTAAATAAATACAATGGGTCTATCGTTTTGTTTTTTTCTGTGTAGTATTTGCTCCTTTCCACTTATTGAGAGTTCCCTTCAAGGGAGGTAATCTAGCAACTCAGTTGGTACTATACTGCATGGCAGTTACTATTACATTCTCACCCATTTTATAAGTCCAAGCATTGGGAGCAGGGAAAATAGTCCATAATGATTGCCTGACCAGTCTCAGAATCTGTGGTGTGCCGGTCTGGCATTTCCAATTCTTGTATAACTTGGTCTTCATTTTTACCAGTGGCTAAGTGAGGTCACAGTTCAAATCTCTTTTATGACTTCTGGTTCGTCTGGTAGGGATGCCAAATCCCTAAGAGAAACTGTTGTATATAAGCGTATTCTGGGTTTGCTTGTAGTAATTCCACCTCCACAACTGAAGCTTCATATTTGTTCTCTCTGGCATATTTCCATAAGAGTACCTTCTTTGAGTTGGTTAACCAGCTGGGGATGTAAGATCCTGTAACCAATTTATGCTGGTAGTTAAACAGGCTCTCATGTGAGGTGTAGTTGGTGGAACACATATACAGATTGTATGGAATGTAAGGCATCAGGTAGCACTACCTCCCACATAGACAGGGACAATTGTTTTGACTTAAGACCTAATTGTACTAACCTTTCTATTTGTCCATTTCCCCCAAGGATTGTAAATGGTTGTACAGCTTGTAGAAATTCCCTTTGGATGTAGGAAGTCTTTCAACTCAGGGGACCTTCCTTCATGTTAAATATCAGAATGTATGTAGTGTGACATGCCTAATGTTACAACTAGTTTGACATAAGTACTCTATCATCATGGCTGAAGAGATATCTCTGCATGTGAATGCAAAGGTGTAACAGAGAATTGGGTCAACGTGCTAAGAGACTGTAAGCACCAGGAGTTATGTCCTCTTCCACAATGGACTGTTGAGAGAAGACCAATTTACAGTAGGTGGTGCTGACTATTTGCATATGAACAATACTGGAACTGGGGGAGCTATATAACACCAATTTTTTTTTTTTCTTTCTCAGTTGAGAAAGTGCTCTCAACATGCGGATGTCTGAAAACCAGACAAGACGAACACAGAAGTGAAACCTGCTGAACACATCAATGACCACTAGAATGTACTAGTTTTTCTTTGTGGACAAGTAGGACTTTGAAATTCATATTTAGCCTTTCAAAAGGTTGAATTGCTTTTATCAATTTCCCCTTTGGATTTCCCAAATTGTGGTTTTTCACACACACAAAGGTTCTGCATTGAGTGGTAATGTTGTGAATGTCCTCCACTGAGGAGGGAAGGTTTCTGGTACACACAAAATGACCCATATGTGCAACTTCCAGATGACAGTAGGACTCGTGAATCTCCTGTAAAACATCAGTAGTGATAGCTGCACAGTTTGATTTTGTGAGTGTATACAGAGCTGCATTCTGACCTGAAGTCTGTAATATATTGTACAATTTTATGTCAATAGCTCAATTTGCCACCTGTTCAGCTTATAATTCTTGGATTGAATAACTTACTGTCTGTAGTTGAATATGAATGATAATGCTTATTGGTCAGTTATCAGTGTAAACTGCTTCCATATTAGATAAGTATTCTCTCAAGGCATCCACAATAGCTGCTGTAGTGCCCCATTTTATTGCATGTGTAACCTCCTAGCCTCATTGATTCCTGTTATTTTTTTTTACTTTCCACAAAAAACATTATCCACTTTCAACCTTCTGAATACTGTCATTGTTGTCGGTAAGGGTTTGTCAACTTCCTCTTCATTAACTATTGTCATGGCTGACTTCAGCTATTGACTATTTGCATATGGACATGAGGCGAATGAAGAAAACAGTAACCAGCGAGTAAATTCAAGCTCTCCCAACTGGTATTTCAAACTTGAGTCGTTTCCTTCCTGAGTTCTGTCTCCAAATCACACTAACTGCCCGTTCTAGCCGTCAACCGTGAACGTCCCTCAAGAACTTCGCCGACTTGGAAAAAAGTAGTTGTTTTTATAGTTGTTCATGTACCCATAATCCCTTGCGTCTTCCTGTGATCCCATAATTCATTGCGTCCATGTCCCATAATGCATTGCGTCCATGTCCCATAATGCATTGCATCGTTATTGGATAAAAATGCGATGCCAGTCCCCCCCTCATTCTTTTTATGTTATCTGGCGAGGATGGATTCGTCAGAGCGGTAAGTGCTTTTTTTTTTCTCCCTCATTTCAACTGCAGTAGCTTTACATGCTAAGCAAATACGGGCTCTTTTTTGGCGGGGACAAGGCAAGTCGCGACCAGTTGTGCTCGTCCCAGGTTCTGTCTCATGTCCGCCACACTCCCCCCTGATCTCCGGATCACACAGATGACAGTGAGGATACGGTCTTTTGTTCCGGGTGCTCCTCCGAAGGGGGATTGGTTGAATTTCTTCATCAGAGGAGCTCTCATTAGACACGTCCCGATCTATTGGCAAACTACCGCTATCGGAGTGATTGGTTGTTGAATCCAACTCTATGTATATTGGCTGTTCACTATCCTCCGTGTCTTCTTCGTCAGTTGTGGGATTCGAGCCAAAAAAGGGCGCAGGTCTCTAACATGACGAAGGCGTTCCATCGACCCGCACTGACTGCTGACTCACCACCTCGGTCACACGTCCGGTTCCAAATTTGGTCGTGCATTTACCACGTGGAGTCTTAACCCAGACAATGTCCCCTTCCTTGTATTCCCCTTCGGTTATTTGTGATTCAGGCGGGGCGTCGCGTCGATGCCTCTCACCCGGACGTGGTATGTGCAGTACATCAGCCGGTGCCGTGGAAGGTGAAAGGTTGTCCTTAGGGGTGACGTTATGCCAGTAAACCGCTTCCAAGACTGAACAATTTTTCCTGGCCGCTATGGTTTTGACGCTTCTGTGGTTGCGTTCCACAATGCCATTTCCAGACGGCACGTAAGCGCACCGGAACCTCAAATGCACGCCCCAGCTGTTTACAAATTCCCTAAATTGTCTGCAAGTGAACGTGGTGTCATTGTCAGTCAGTATTTCGTCGGCGGGCCTCGTCAGAGAAGACTGTCTCTAGCTGACGAATGACACCAGCAGAGTCTTGCCGTCTCAGTGGCCGCCATACTGCAAAAGCGGGAGGGACCACAGTCAATGAGCGTAAGAAAATGGCTACCATTGCAATGGGTTCGTCCATTGCTAACCTGCTCCAGTTTTTTCTCACACTCAAATTTCCTTTCTTCCAATGCACTGGTGCTGGATCGATCGATTGGCAGGCTTCACAGGTTCTAACGACAGATTTTACCAGTTCTTAGACACCGTTGGATCTACAGTCCTAGCAAAGTACATTGTTCTTTTAACACCTGGGTGCCCACTCTGCTGGTGGATGTGGGTCACCTGACGTTTTGCTCAACTGGCTCGTTGCAGTGACACAACTCACTTGCACCGGTTCTCCTCCTTTCTTGTGCATCTCCAACCAGCGTTGCGGCACTCTGGTGAGGCTGTCAGCGCGGTTCTGACAAGATTTCACCAACGCCACAGTCATAGTCAGTCGCATCTCCTCCACCAAAGCTTCGCAGTGTCTCTAAGCGCCGCCTCATCAGCATTTCACCCGCTGCCTTCGTGTTCACGCTGCGTCCTTCCTGTCAGGGTGTCAGACACCCACCGATGCACACATGCTGAATCGGTGACCACATGCATAACTGGTGCCTGCCACTGCAGGGCAAGATTCACGCCCTTGATCACCGCATCAAGCTCAGCAAGATTAATGTGTTTGGCATCATTGGTTGGACGCAACCAGCAAGCATCTTCCACGACGCTCCCATTCACCTCTAGTGCTACTCCCGTGGCTAACGGAGCTTGCATCCACCCAAACTGTCATTTCATTGCCGTTCACACACCAGTCTCCGCCGACAGGATCTGATTCCCGCACTCTGGCCACTGTTTCCTCCAGCATACGTCCAAGAGGGGCATCCTTTATCTCGTCGTCCCATCCTTTGGTTAGTGTGCTTGCATAACGCTTAATAAATGCAGTTGCCACCCTAAGCCAACCGCACACAGGAAATGACCCACAAGTTTCCCCGCACAAGGAAAATACGCTCAAGCGGGTCACCTTTTGAGCAATTTCTGGAACTTGACCTCCCGCTTCCATCGAAGGGAGTTGCTTTCTTCCCAGACTTGCAGACCCAGGACCTTAGTTCCGTCTCTCAATCGCTCCGGATCTTTACAGACTAGCCCGTAATCTGCAAAGTGCTGTCTTACACGCGCTGCAGAAAACTAGGCCTTCATTTATGAAGATATAAATCGACGTATGCCGACGTGGCACTCTTAATGTCCTGATCCTGGGACGTTATCATGTCGATCACTGACTTCATGACAAGAGGTGCCACATTCAGGCCAAAACCCAAACGCGTAAGGCAAAAAAACGCTTGCCCTTAATGACCACTGTTTGAAACGGCCATAGCGATTTGTCAATGTGAATCTGTAGGCACGCATTTCTCAAATCCAACAGCGTCGTCAGCTCCTTGTCGCCGCCATTCTCGTAATTTCTGCGCACACACCTCTCGCCAGCCGTGAATGCGTCTACAAAGCCGTTCAACTCCCGATAGTCAAGTACCGGTCGGACCTTCTGTTTGTGTTCTTGTACGACCGCCATTAAGGGAATTAATCCTTTGGGTGGGCCAAGCTCTTTCTCAGGATATGGCAGTAGCCATCCGTCCCGCTGCCACCGTGCTAGTTCTTCATCGTATGCATCCCGGACGTGGCCAGGTACTGTGTACTCCTGTACTTTATTGACCAACTTGCTAGGTGAATGACCACTCGCCCACTTCCACAATGCAGTCCACGTTTTTTGTGCTCGGGTTAACGTCACTCTAAAGTCAGGCTTGTTGATAACAATGGCGGCACATGTGTTCAGGTTTCGAAACGAGCCGCCTGATTCGGTCAAGTAAACACCTCCGAGCACTTTGATTGCATCAATCCCGAGAAGAAGATCGAATCCCAGCAACTGCCCTTCCACGACCAGAACCTCAACAGTCACGGGCTGAATATGCTCGACGCCCAACTTAATTTTACCGTATCCACGGCACTTCAGGGTCTTCCGTCGGCAGTCAACCTCCACCTCTTCCTGCTTCCAGCAGCGACACACAGTCTTGCTCACCAGAGTCTGTGAGCATCCCGAATCCACTAGAGCTGTGCACTCTACTCCATCTACAAATACTTGTACGGTGGGTAGCTTCGGGTTTTACTTGTTCGGGAGAAGGCTGGCGCTGACGCCTTCTCCCCTTGGGCGTTTCCCTGGCATTCTGAGGAAATGTGTCCGATGCCGTTGCATCGAAAACACCGCTTGTCGCGACCAGACCTCTGCGTTCTGTTTGACCTCTCCTGACGTCCTTGTGTACAATTCTTCGCCATATGGTTGGGTCCAGAGCACTAGCAGGTAATCGTTCTGCTAACAGGTTTGGCAGGGGAACCTCAGCTTCTGGCGGCGTTGGCTCACGGATGTGGCGGCCAATACCTGGCACCTTTCGTCATCCGTCATAATAGCCCTTGCTCGGGTCAGAATCTGTTCTAGATTCATGTCGTCCATCCTGGAAGAAGCTTTGAGAAGCTGCCTAACATGATGTGGCAGTCCTGACACAAATGCACATGCCATCCACCGATCAGGTAGCGGTTCTCCTACTAGCCGCGCGTAAACGATGCATTTCAGCCAGGAATTCATCCACAGTTTCCCCTGGTAAGACGCCGTCCCATAAATTGGTCGAACGCATTAAATTTGTCAGTCGCGTATGCAGTCATAAGGGCCCGTTTAATTTGTTCGCGTCTGCCCTCTGCTCTCCACTGAGTTGTCTATATACAGCGAGGGCACCTCCCGAAGTCGTAAAAGGCAAGATGCGCTCGATCTTGTCCATGGCACAAAGTTCGCAGACCAATTCCACATTTTCTATCCATTCAACAATGGGCATATCCGTTGGGGCGCCGCTGAATTCTGGAATCAAGCGGACGTCAAAGACTTTGCCTTCCATTTTGAAGAATCAATATGCCGAAATAGCTTGAGGCGAATGAAGAAAACAGTAACCAGCGAGTAAATTCAAGCTCTCCCAACTGGTATTTCAAACTTGAGTCGTTCCTTCCTGAGTTCTGTCTCCAAATCACACTAACTGCCCGTTCTAGCCGTCAACCGTGAACGCCCCTCGAAGAACTCGCCGACTTGGAAAAAAGTAGTTGTTTTTATAGTTGTTCATGTACCCATAATCCCTTTGCGTCTTCCTGTGATCCCATAATTCATTGCGTCCATGTCCCATAATGCATTGCGTCCATGTCCCATAATGCATTGCATCGTTATTGGATAAAAATGCGATGCCAGTCCCCCTCATTCTTTTTATGTTATCTGGCCGAGGATGGATTACGTCAGAGCGGTAAGTGCTTTTTTCTCTCCCTCATTTCAACTGCAGTAGCTTTACATGCTAAGCAAATACGGGCTCTTTTTTGGCGGGGACAAAGGCAAGTCGCGACCAGTTGTGCTCGTCCCAGGTTCTGTCTCATGTCCGCCACAGGACAATACCAGGCAGGTTTGTCAACTTCCTCTTCATTAACACCACATAATCACCACATCATTTATGACTGCTGTCTCATATGTCGTATTTGTTCCACTGATGAAAATGTAAGCTTGGGCATTTTTGTGTGCTAGCACCAGACCTCAATTTTGGTTTAAAGCTTTGTTGAATTTTCCATTCTTTAAAAGTTGTCAAATTATAGGGCTAGCTAGTTCAGTTATGAAGGCATCTCAAATGTCTAGGTCTTTGTGTTTAGTCACAGTAACCTGTTGGAAATTGCAGTCCTTAGTGAGACTCTGTAGGTCCAGTGTTTCTCCATGTTGTTGTTACTTAGTGACCAGGATGTATCTCGCATAGATCTTGCTATTTTCTTGTATGTACACTTTGTTTAGTAAGTTCAAAACCTCCATATAAGTTTCCACCTTGCTTATAATCTCATAAATGTCCGGTGACACAAAATTCTCTAGCAGCTGTAGTTTGTGCTTCAGTTGTCACTTTGGGTGTCTGCTACACACAATTTTCAAAGGTCTTCAGTGTTTCCAGGCTTTCTCAGAACCAATGAATTTTGGTCAACATCAAACACACAAGGTTTCAGTAGTTTCTCCATGTGAAATTCATACACAATTGAATTATATTTAGTTATAATAATTGTAATGTAATTTTTATAAGGCACATACTAGTTTGTAGCCAGGGACAGCTGGAAGAAATATTCTAACTAAATATAACAGGTCTATGTTGTTATGCAACTAGCAGTTGCTTTGGGATTTTTTTCTGTGTAGTGTTTGCTATTCTCCACTTACTGAGAGTTCCCTTTAAGGGAGATAATCTAGCAACTCGGTACTATACTGCATGGCAAATACTATTACAGAATGAGTGTATTATTCTTACAAGGTGAAAGGTGAAAAGAAATTGGAATTGGTTTCATTTGGCTTGATTGTGAAACAAAAAAAAAAAAAAATGATCAAATCTGTAAATCTGAAGAAAATAAATTTCCAAAAATAAAATTTTGAAGGTCAAATGTTAATTTTTGAACAGCTGTGAATATTGTAAATTTTATCTCTTAAATATCCATGGATATTCAGTGGAAGAATATTTATTATATGAAAGTGTTTAATAATTTAAAAATAATTTTAAAGCTGTTTTTGATTGTGCAGAAAATTTAAAACATTTTGTTTGCATTTTATCTTCAGATTCTGCTGATCCTCCGTCCAACAAAGAAGCCAGTGTGGAACTCATAAAACTTGATGTTTCACGTACCTTTCCTCAGTTTTGCATCTTTCAGAAAGTAAGTTTAGATTTTTGCGAATTGTTCGTTTTTTTTTGTTTTTTTTTTATAATTCTAATTGAACTTTGTCATCTCAAATCTGTTATTTCATTTATCTTATTTTTTTCCTCTCCCCTCTTTTTCTTTTTTTTTTTTTTTTTAAATATACATAAACAAAAATTAGTGTGAGGAACAAGAAAACTCACCTCCTGCAAAGCGTTATTTGCTTGTCGTGTCAGGTCTTGTTGAACAAGAGAAGAAAGGGGTCTGTTGCTTGAAAGCAAGCACCTTAATCAATTTCAGTTATTGCAAATGACTGGCGAACTAAATTAATCACAATTAGAACTTTATTTATATGACTTATTTTCTTTCTTAAATTTTTTTGTTTTGTTACAATAACAAGATAATTCAATCTTCCACTTTTCCTTTTTGTCAATTATTACTGAAAAAATGAAACCAGTGTGGCTCTAACAGATTCTAGTACAAAAGTTTTATAGCAAAACACTTTCATCATCAGCTTAAAGTGTCTTAACAAAAAAAAAAAAACAACAAATAATCTAGATTCTCTTCATAAAATTAAATGATTTTCATGGCTGTTGTTTGTTAAAGGACTTCCTCTAATATTGTAACTCACTACTGTATTTGTAAATGAACAAGTTGGGTTTGAGGAAACACACTCCAAATCTTTGAAGATTCAAAATAGCTATGAATTGGCAGAGAAAATGAAGAAGACTCACAAACATTAACATTTGAATGTAAAATATTAATATTGAATTGAAAACAGATATGTGAGTGTGTTCTTTCTACTTTAGTGTATAGTGTGATTGTTTACTAATAGTTTATTGTTAGTAATGAAAATATAAAAGTTTGGTTCATAGTCAAATAAAAATAAGAACACAAACTTGAATGACATTCATATTTTGGCTGAAGTTTGTACAAAAGATAAACTATAAACTTTTCAGTAAGAGATTGGCTTGTTGGATTCAAAATTTATTCATCATTTCTTCTTGGTGATTAAAATGAAAGAAATTACAGGTAGAAATTGAATTATTTGATTTAATTCTTCAAATAGCCTCGATATAATTCAGCTGCTGGAGTTGGGTGGCAGTTTTCAGAAATTCTTTGTTTCCACAGAGTCACTTAAACATTATGAAAATATATGTTTATATGTTGTTCTTGTTGTAACTTATTGAAGTTGATACACATGAGTAATTTAGACATGATGTCTCTGATCATGAAGATAATATTATGAAAGACCAAAATTCTCAGCCTGATGATGAATATTTATTCATTGATTAGAGTGTGCAATTTAAAGAAAGACTTTGAAATAATATCCATTTTAAATTTGTTACGTTGCTCAGAGAAGAAAGCTAGTAACCTTTCACTAAGGCTTTACTGAACTTAATTCACAGCAGCAATCAACAAAGGAAGAAGAACGCAGCTTTTAAAGAGGAATGGGGACGTGTGAAAAAGTCACGTGGACACTAAAGATAGTTTCCTATTTGACGTGGACAGTAAAGATAGTTTCCTATTTTCTTTTCTTTTATTTTCTTTACGAAAATATAACATTCTCCCCCACTTGCAAAAGAGATCGTAATTGAATAGGTTTTATAAATCCAGTCGTTGGATTGGTCTACGAATCCTGCTAGACCGGCGTAGAGGTAGTTCAGCACTGGAATTCTGGCTATTATTCACAGATTCATTTTCCGTGGAAGGTGAAGAAATATTAACGGGACCTGCATCAGGCAAAAGGGTTGAATCTGCGTGGTCCACGTCGGGTTGAGTATTTTCAGGTCCATTTTGAGGTCCATCCGGGCGTGGAAAACGTGCCAACCGTCTCAGCGCCACCGAATCTTCCCGGCCATCATTGTGACGTATTTCGGCATGCGTAGGATTGGCCTCAAGGAGTTCCACCACCTCAACAATAGGGTCATATTTACTTCTGCCATCGAATCGTTTTAATTTTTCCGCGATTAGCAGGTTTAAACATAAAAGATAACGGCTTGTTGATCAGTAATAATAGTAAAATGTTTACCGGCAAGGAGGTCTCTCCATTTACTTAACGATTCGACTATAGCATATGCTTCTTTTTTCGACTATGTGAAGTCGATTTCAGAGGGGTTTAGCGACCGAGAAAAAGAATGCTACAGGTCGCTCACCTTGTAAAAAGAGTGCCTCCAATAGCCTTTTCTGAGGCATCGGTTTCAATAGTAAATGGCAATTCATCATCAATAACTTTTACAGATGATTTCGCAATGTCTTTCTTAAGTTTTTCGAAAGAATTTATAACTATAGGAGGCATAGGGAATTGTTTATTTTCGACCAGTGGACGAATTTTTGTGTGAATATTTAGGTATCCATTTCACATAGTAAGCAAACATACCAAGACACCTTTTTAACGAATTTGAGTCGGGAGGAGGAGGCGGCATTTGTAAAAGTGGCTTCAAACGCTCAGGATCGGGTTGGATAGTTCCGTTACAAATTTGATATCCAAGCACGTTAATAGAAAGAAGTGAAAACTCTGATTTTTCCCGGTTTATTTCGAGGTTGTATGTCGAGGCAGCCTTTAAGAAACATTCCAAATTGACATCGTGCTCCTCCTGGGTTTTACCACAAACAGTTATATCATCTATATACGAAACGGTTCCAGATAATTTGTTATCAGAAATGAAAGAATTCATAAATCACTGAAAAGCAGAAACCCTGTTAGTAACACCCATGGGTATTCGTTTAAATTGGTACAGACGGTTTCCAGCTTGAAAGGCCGTATAGGGGCGATCTTCAGGGCAAATTTCAATCTGATAGTATGCTTTGGACAAGTCAATTATACTATAGATACGATACTGGGCTATTTGGTTTACGAGATCTTCAATTCGAGGCAAGGGGTAGGCATCAAGTAAGGTGAACCGATTAATAGTCTGGGAGAAATCGACTACCAATCGTTTCTTTTTATTAGGTGACGGTTACGACAATTTGAGCACGCCCACGGAGAGTAACTTGTTTCAATTATATCATCCTTAAGCAGTTGTAGAATTTCTTTTTCAATGAACCGACCATCCTCCTCCACGGTAATTTCGGGATTTAGTAGCAATAGGTTTGCAATCAGGGGTCAAGTTTTGAACAACTTAACAGGAGCACAACTGATCTTGGTTAGAGTGCAGATTTTAGAATATCCTGAGATCCACCAAAAGAAATAGTGATACTCTGGTGTAGTTTTAAGAAGGGCAGTCCAGTATAATATCCATACAGGAATCAGGAAGTACTGTAAAGTCAATTTGTTTATATTCGTAACCATTGAAGATAATGTCCTCAGTACAATATTCAGATAGTTTGAAGGAAATGGCAGATGAAGCCATGGAAATTACAGAATTCCGTTTAGAAGTAGACAGTTTCATTGTTTTAACAATACGGGCACTGATAAATTTATCAGAACTACCGGTGTCTATGAGGGCAGTTAATCTCTTTCCTTTTAATTCTAAAGTTTTAGTAACTGGAGGAGACCTATCATCGTCTTTTAGCACGGGCTACTATAATAGCTGAAGTAGAACGTGAAGGTGTTTTGGCATGGTAGAACGGCAAACTTTGAAAAATGACCAAGTTTGCCACAGTTTCGACATATCTTATCACGGGCAGGACAATAGCGACGATTATCCTTAAAGTGACGTTTTCCTCCACAGTTGTAGCACTTGCCACGAGCAAAGGCAGCAGACAATTGTACAGAGTCACACCGCACGAGAATCAGTTAAGTCTGAAAGCATATTTTTAGTAGTAGTAGTGGAAGTGGCTTCCTCGGCAGAATCAGTAACCACATTTTTAGTCCTAGTGGTAGTAGCAGCAGTTGATCCAATCTGAGAAGTGTATGACTCAGCACCGAAAGTGAGCCTGTTCTAAGGCTCTAGCACATTGAGTAGCCTCCTTGAGAGTTAGCGTATCATTTTCAAGCAGTCTGGCACGTATTACGAGGGACCGGAGACCACGTGATAAATGCATCACGGACAGATTCATCCCTGTAAGTAGTAGCAGTAACATCTTGGAAGCAACAGTCAGCAGCAAGTCGATTCAAGGCCTGAAGGTATTGGTCTACAGACTCATTTTCCTGCTGCAGACGTGTAGACAACAAATGTCTAGTGTGAATAATACTTGGAGACTTGTCATAAACACTTCTCAGCAATTCAACAGCATGTTCAAATCCAGAACAACCCCGATAACATCAGCAACGGTAGCACCGATATTTAAATAAAGGACTTCGAGTTTGTCAGGGTTTAACGAAGCAATAGTTGATAAGTAATAATTAAAATTACGGTACCATAGTCTCCAGAGCTTGCTAGCCTGAGGGTCTGCAGAAGATATATCAAACTTGTCCAGACGAATAATCTTGTCCATGAGGAAGTAAGTTCAGTAAATTGTTACGTTGCTCAGAGAAGAAAGCTAGTAACCTTTCACTTAGGCTTTACTGAACTTAATTCACAGCAGCAATCAACAAAGGAAGAAGAACGCAGCTTTTAAAGAGGAATGGGGACGTGTGAAAAAGTCACGTGGACACTAAAGATAGTTTCCTATTTGACGTGGACAGTAAAGATAGTTTCCTATTTTCTTTTCTTTTATTTTCTTTACGAAAATATAACAATTTAAAAGATGTTTGAATGTTCTTGTGCTGCTATTCCTTTTTTGTACAGACTCTTGGACTTTGGAGAAAACTGTCCTCCCTGACATATTCTTGTATTTTTAGGAAAATCTCAACAGGATTTCTAACGGAACATTGCAAAAGAATTCTAAAAATGATATTGTCAATATTGTTTACCCTTGTTAGAATATTTTGAATTATATTTCCTAGGATTTTAAATATTTTTCATTTCATCTTTGTATTGTTCAATTTTTATCTTATTCCAATTTTATTAAACAACTCCTCTAAACATTTTGCTCATTTTTAAATTTTAAAAGAAAGTCTAAAGTATCTATTTTTAATTTTCACTTGATTTATCAGTTAAAATTGCAATGACTTTTATTTTTTCCTAGCCTTATCATTTGTTGTAAAAGTCATTAATTTTGTTAGCGTATGATTATTTCATTTGACAGGGTGGACCATATCATGACCTCCTCCACAGCCTTCTTGGAGCCTACGCCTGCTATCGGCCAGATGTTGGATATGTAAGTCCTTTTATATTTCATTTTGACAATGTAGCCTTGTTTAAAAATTAATCTTGCAAATATGTGACTATAAAATCTTTAAGTATTGTTGTATAACCAGCAAACTTAACAGACCCCCCCCCATCTCCTCATTAATGAAACTGTAACAGAAATAAGTTTTTTATTTGAATGTCTGCTCATTTCTTTATAGTAGAATCATTATCAATGTATTTACATAATATGTATAATGGATCTATTCTGTCACTAATGTTTACATTAATTTCTGATCACTGAAAATCCATTTATTATTCTTTTGCAATGCTTTGCTATAGTAAGACCATTAACAATGCATTTATGTTATAATAGTTCTTTTATCTTGGTAATGCTTGCATTCATTCCTGATCACTTACAACACGGTTTTACTTGATTTTGAATGTTTAACATAGTTCTCTAACTAATTTCAGATAAAAATTTTAATGTTTAATCAATTTTTTTTTCTAAAATCAGAAGTATTTTCTTTGATAGAAAATAGCTCCAGTTAAGTGGAATGTTAATCAAGTCTGTGAACAGTAGCAAAAGCAGACACCTTCCAAGCTATACTTTTAGCCATTATTAAGGATGATTTTATTTTTGCTTTTTAATTGGGTGTATTGGTTGTTTGTATGTTTCTAGAGTTATAGGGAGGTTTTATTTTCTGAACACAGCACATTGTGGCTGTGTTTGTAGTTATTATTATTGAGTGTTGGCTTTTTCTTTTTTATTAAGACTTCCATTATTTTTAATTATGTTCAAAAGCCCCTTAAGGAAGTGTATTCCTTATCAAACCAAATTCATAAATAATTGCATTGGACACGCTACTACATGCCTATCCAAGCGCCTTACATTACACCTATCCGATCACAGCTCTATTAGAACCCATTTAAACACACACACAAACTTACCAGACTCTATCAGAAATATACTAGTAGAAAATACAAACATAATAACCTCATCCATATGTAAAAAAAAAAATGATTAAAAATAATGGAAACCTTAATAATAAAAAAAAAAAAAAAGCCAACACTCAATAATATTAACTACAAACATGGCCACAATGTGCTGACCATGTTTGGAAAATAAAACATCCCTGTAATGCTAGAAACATACAACTAATTAAAAAGCAAAAATAAAATCATCCTTAATAATGGTTAAAAGTACAGGTGAAATCACTTGGAATTATAGAACATTAGGACAGTTTCTATGCACTCTGTGTCCAGAAAAGAAAACACTTGTTTGAACACAAGAAAAATTAAATAAAAAGCTTAATTGGAGTACTTTGTCTGTCATTTTTAATGAAACATGTATAAATGAAGGATTGCTGCCTAAATACATTATTTATTTTTATATATATATATATATAATAGAGATAGAGGAATGTGGCAGAATGATAGTGATAAGGAATAAATAGGAAACATTTATAAATCTAGCATGTTTCACTTTGTTAAATCTTTATCAGAATAAGATATGGAAAAAAAGAAAGAAAAATATTCTGATATTTTTTATTTTTGTTTGTTTTTCATTGGTTAAGCATTTGGTTTTGGTTGATCAAAGTATGGCTATTTTAGACGGTGTGACATATGGACTAACAGGAGTCACAAAATTTTATGTATAGATAAATAGATGTTTGGTGGTTGTCCACATGCCGATTATGTTATATATAAATACACAAACACAGTGTCACTACTAAAATACAGTAGTGATTGTTTTCTATTTCCTTTCTGTTGTGTCGTGTATATTGCTAAGTAAGCATTCGACCTCTGTTCTAGTTGGTGTCCATTTATCATATGAGCTACCTGCTCATATGCAAATTATACTAATTTGCATCTCACTACATCTTCCTATAACAGAGGGGCCTTATGCCGCGAGTACTTCTTCTTGTGCCCTCCTGAACATCTTCCTTTATCTCTCTCCTTTCCCTTGGAGATCTAGATCTATCACGTCTTTCCCTATAATCGAACTGTTCCTCTTGCATACTCTGGTCTTTCTCTTCTAACTTGTCCCATTCTACTTCTTCCTCTTCTAACTCATCCCTCTCTACTTCTTCCTCTGCAGTTTCATTCTGCATTAACTCTTCTGTTACATCAATAATGGGCATCTCTAAAGGCATTTCCTCATCTTATTTGGTCAGCATGAGCTAGAACACTGTTCCCATTTTCTTTATTTAATATTGCAGTATTATGTCCTTTCTGCATAATAAATTTGGCTGACTTGGGTTGCATATTCCTATTTCTTTTGTACCACATCTTTTGATTTGTGGCATATGACATAGTCAAAGGGGACCTTAATTGTCTGCCCATTAAGGCAGATGGACTTTCCGGCCTGCCTGCATGTAGAATTGTTCTGTAACGTAATAGTAGTCTTGGTAGAAAAGCATCGATTTCCTCCTTCTGTTGCAAGCATGCTTTTATGCCCTTCTTTACCGTCTGGACCATCCTTTCCGCTGTCCCATTACTTTGAGGGTGGTAGGGGGGTCTTGTAAGGTCTGCATCCTATTTTTCTTAGCCATTCATGCAAATCAGCATCCACAAATTCTGGTGCGTTATCAGTCACCAATGTTCTCGGTGTCCCATTCCTCGAAAAATATTACTCTTAATATTTGTTTTACGGTGGTACTTTTTTTTATCAGGTACTCTCACCACTTCAGGCCAACCTGAATATGCGTCTACTAATATTAATAATAGTCCTATCCCATTGACAATAGGCATGGTCCATGTGTACTCTGCTCCATGGTTCTACTTCTCGGGGCCATACGTGTATTTTCTTTTGCTTAAAATTCCTGAGTTCTGTGCATTTTTTGCATCTTCTTACGTAGTCTTCTACATCTCTTGAGTACCCCGGCCACCACGCTTCCAATTTTAATCTTCTTTGCGTAGCTGCCACTCCATAATGTATGTCATCGTGTACACTTTTTATAACCTGTCTCCTCTGTGTTTCTGGGGGAACTACCAAGTCTCCATTACATATTATCCCGTTTTCTATATTCATTCTGTCTAATTTCTTTGAATGGTCTTTCAGCCATTGAACAATTTCCCCAGCGATTCTATTTTATCCTCGACATTATTCTATTTAACACCGGGTCATTTGTAGTTTCAGTAGCCATTTTATCTACAGATATTACATCGGTTTCTACAAGGTGCAAGAATGTGTCTTCAAATTCCTCGTCATTTTTGTCCTTCTCCTCTCTATAAAACCTCAATCTAGATAAGGCATCAACATGCGGTATCGTATTCCCTTTAACATATTCAATGTCAAAGTCGAATGCCATCAGTCTAATCGCCCAACGTAATATTCTGGACGTTGTAACTTTCGGTAGCTCTTTTCTTGGGTTGAAAATAAATTCCAGTGCTCTGTGATCACTTTTCAACAAGAATTTTTTTCCCATCAAGAACTGTCTTGCTCTATCCGTTGTCCACACTATGGCTACTGCCTCCCTTTCTATATTTGAATAATTGTGTTCAGTTGTTGTTAATCTCCTCGATAAGTACATTATGGGATGCCCATCTTGTGACAAAATACCAGATATGGACTGCTCACTAGCATCAGTAGTTAGAATTATGTCCTTCTTAGGGTCAAAAATTTGTACTATTGGCTTTTTTGCCAGAATCTGTTTTAAGTTTTCAAAGGCTTTCTGTTGGTGTTCTAACCAAATGAATTCCACATTTTTTTTTCTTAACTTAGCAAATGGTTCTGTCAACTCATTATATTTTGGTACATATTTTCTATAAAAATTTACCAAACCTAAGGACTTCAACTCTTTTTTATTTTTCAGTGTAGCAACTTTTAGAATTTTCTCTATTAGTACTTTATCTGGAGAGATCCCTTCCTTTGATATTGAGTAACCCAAAAATGATATTTCATTACTGTTGGTTACACACTTTTTTGTATTTATGGTCATACCAGCGTCATTAGCCGGTTCAGTATATTTTCAGTTTTTTTCTTTAAATCATCTTCATTTAAATCTCCAACACATATATCGTCTTGATAACAGATGGTATTCTCAACATTTCCTATTACTTTTTCAATAGCTTTTTGAAAAATTGCACTTGCCGTTTTTATGCCATACGGCATTCTTTTCCAAGATAACAGGCCTATAGGTGTGTTTATGGTCGTCACTTCTTTAAAATTTTCATTTATTGGTATTTGGTGGTAAGCTGATTTTAGGTCTATCTTCGAAAATACTTTCATTCCAGCAAGTTTATGTAAAGCTACTTTCACATTCGGAATAGGGTACGAGTCAGCACAAACTTTATGGTCACCCCTATTTTATAATCTCCACAAATTCGCAGGTCACCATCTTTTTTTTTTTCAATACCACAATGGGTGATGCCCATTTACTTCCTCCTGGAGGGGCAGGTTCTAATAAATCTTCCTTTATTAGCTTTCGCAATTTAGCTATTACCAACAGTAATAAATGCACTTGTATTTTTCTCGCTTCGTAGTAGGAGGGCGAAACATTTTCTTTTAATTTCAGGCTAGCTTCATAATTTTTTAATTTTCCTGTTTTTTCTATTTCTATCTCATTAATCAACTTTGTTGAATTTATTTTTAACACGTCATTCCCCAGTAGTCCATGCGTTTTTCAGCAATTTGTAACTATAATGGGTACTATTTCATATTTTTCTTTTAATTCTATTGAACCTTCAAAGTAACCCATAATTGCTATAATCGAGCCATCAAACTGACGTAATTGTACGTTGGTTTTTTTTAAAAACGGTTTTCCAATTTTTTCCCACAAAGTTCTGGGTAATATCCTGACCTCACTACCTGTGTCGATTTGCATTTCGACAATATAGTCCTTGATTTTCACTTTTATTTTTGTATCTCCGTTCTTAGATCAAATATTTTGTATATTATCCTTTTTTATATTAAAAATCTGTCTATTTTCATCCTCTACTCTTTCCACATTTTTTGTTTTACATACATCTTTGAAGTGATTTTTTTTTTAAACACTTTGAACATGTCTTTCCAAAGGCTGGGCATTTTTCTTTTTTCATTTCATGAATTTTTCCACAGTACACACAATTTTTTCTTTTTGTTTGTACCGTATATGTTTCAGCCATTATTTCTTCGTAAGATTTATTTTTATTTTGGTTGTAGGTATGTATTAATTCTTTGCTGTTGTATAAATTCTATACACATATTTAAAGGCATGTTTGTAAGTTGTAACTGTTCCATTAACTTATATCTATGTGCTGAATTATGCATACCTTCAATTAATCTTAGTTGGATTAATTCTTCTTCCGTTGTCTGCTCTCCTGTTCCTAGTTTTTTGAATTCACAGTATTTACTCGCACTTCTTAACCGGTGTAAATATTTTACTATCGGTTCATCCACTTCCCGCTTCATTGCCATAAACTTGGTCCTTTCTGCAATCACCAGTCTTTTCTTTGGCCTCATGTTTCCCTTAATAACCCGACTTATTTCTTCGAAAGTCATTTCTTCTAGTTCTCGAGGGTAAACCATTGTAGCAACCTTCATAATCGCTTCACAACCAGCGGTAGCCATGAACAAGTCAGTGATTTCATTTTCCCCTCCTCTGTTTTTGTTGTCTTTCAACTTTTTACATCTTGCATTAGCAGCAAAGCAACGAATCCACGTATCTACGTACTCTGGGTCTTCAAGGACCAAAGAGTATCCTATCGGCGACGCCATTGTTGTGTCGTGTATATTGCTAAGTAAGCATTCGACCTCTGTTCTAGTTGTTGTCCATTTATCATATGAGCTACCTGCTCATATGCAAATTATACTAATTTGCATCTCACTACACTTTCCTAATCACATGTAATCATTCTAATGAAAGTTTCAGTAATTAATAAGTCCCAATTACATCATCACTGTTTGCATAGATAACAATTATCTATCAATTTTGAAAATTTAAACATTAAAAAATTTCTGATAATTTCTCAGATTAATTCAATACCATTTGGAAAAATAGTGAAAGTTTTACCGTTTAAAATAACAAATGATTTTCAAATTAAGTAATTTATAAAACATCCACAGGATTGAATAAATGAATTTATAAAGTTTTGATTGGTTTGCCATGAGGCGAATATTACAATATCAAATACAGTATTCAAGGAACCTGAAATACAATGCATCATTTTTTAGAATACACTTTAATGATTGGAGTGAAAATCTGTTGTTTTTTCCCCACTCCCTCTCGCAAACACACTTTAAGAAGTCTTTGTATTTTGATTGGCTGTTTTAAGATCTTTGTTTTTATTTATTTTACTGTTTCTTTTTTTTTTTTTTTATTTATTTAGGTGCAGGGTATGTCTTTTTTGGCTGCAGTGTTGCTGCTGAATATGGACGTGGCTGATGCCTTCATCTGCTTTGCCAATCTTCTAAATGGACCATGTCAGGTGGCCTTCTTCAGGGTGGATGAAGGAATGGTAAGAATAGTGTTCTTGGAGTTTCATAAACCTTTGCTCAAGCAAATACAAACAAATCTCTCAATTACAGAAAACACCAAAGACAGAAAAAGACCAAATCTTTTTGTTTTCCGTTTGAAAAGTTTCATATAATTTATGACAGCAAATTAACTTTTGTCCTAGTTATCAAAGTTATTTAGTAGTTACTGGACTCTATGCAAAATAGGGCAAGTCCATTTTGCCTATGTCACTACATCTCCTGGAAATGAAGAGGTTTTATGCCCTTTGTTGATCTTGGACTTTGTTGAACAAAAATATGAGATCTTATCTCTCTCTCTATCTCTCTCTTGAGGTGGATACCTGATTCTTTTTATTAAGAATCTAGGTCTGGACTCATCTTCCTTCTGATCTTCCAAGTTCATGTCAGATTAGTGCAAAGTATCCTCCATAGTTTCTTTACTATGTTCACTTTCTCCATAAGAAACTCATACTTTCCTCAATTTCAAGTTTCTCCTCCTCTTCCATCTCAACTTCATCATTATCACTTTTACGTCTTATTTGGTCAGAATGAGCCAATAAAATTTGTCCATTTGTTGCTATTACGACTATATTCTGTTCCTTTTATGTAAGAAAATGAACTTTTTCAGGACTGTTTTTTTTTTGTGTTACATTTTTTCATTTATTGAATAGAACATAGTTATAAATGATCTAATTTGTCTTTCCATCAATGCAGAGAGACTTTGCATTCTACCAGCAGCAGTAATAGTTCTGTAACTCCTTAATAGTCTTGGTAGATAACTATCTATGGTATCACTGGTTGGAGAAATTGCCTTCAACTCCATTTTCACTATATGCACCATTCTTTTTGCAATTCCATTTGCTTGCAGATGGGGTGGTGTTTTATTGAAATAAGCATAAAGAAGAAAGATTTGATATTATTGAAGAACTATAACATTATTTGGCTGAAAACAAAGTTTTAACAAACTTATTTCTTCGCTGTCCTGACTTTGCCATTCTTGCCACATTTACCAGTCAACTTGTTTCTCATCATATGAAGCTGGAAGTTTTATGCTGTAAAGAGATACCAAGTGATACAAAACTCTCAGTGCTTATACAGACGGGAAAGATTAGTACTTTACAACATTTATAAAGGAGGCATCCAATTTGTTTTAACCATGAACACAGTTTCATCACATAATTCTGATGCTTTGTCAGAGACTAATATTTTTGGCACTCCATTTCTGGAAAATATTACTCATAATATTTGCTTTACTGTGGCTGCCTTCCCATCCTGAATTCTAACCACTTCAGGCTATCCAGAGAATTAGTCAACCAAAATTAAACACAGTCCTAAGCTTTTAACATGCACATGACCTATATTATCACAAGTTCATGGTTCTTTTTCTTTAGGCCATGAATGTATCCTTGTTTAGCAAAAGTTTTTTTATTTCACTACATTTTGGACACTTTTGTACAAATTTCTCTACATCATGCAAATACACTTCAAATTTTGATTGTCTTTGTGTTTCTGTTTTCCACAAAAAAACATTATCATGTATACTTTTTATTACATCTTTTTTAATGTTTCTGGTGCTATTAAAACATCTCCATTACATATAAGACCCTACTCTATAGTTAACCTGTATCGTATTATCTTTTATAGAGTCTCTCTGCCTCAGAACAATCACACAATTTCTTCTTATTCTACATGAAATCTTGCTTAATAGCAGATCCTATAAGGTTTCAAATGCAAGATTATCTAAGGGTAATACATCTGTTTCAATCCAGTGAAATATTTTATTTTCTGTATTATCTGATCTTTCTAATGATTCATTGTTGAACTTTAATCTTGATAGAGGATCTACATTGTCAATCAAAGGCCATGACCTTTATGGACCATCTTAAAATCCTAGAAGATATAACTTTAGGTAACTCCCTACTGGGGTTAAAAAAATAAATTCTAAAGGTTTATGGTCAGATCTAAACAGAAACTTCCTTCCTAATAAAAAATGACAATATCTGTTTATATTTCTGAGATGAAGTATTATATACATTATTTACATTATTCGGACTATTGTCCTCATCTTTGTCACCATATTTAAGGACTCATGGCATAGTGGATAAAGGTGTTAGTTAGATCCAGTGACAGGACCCAAAGAGTGAGTTCAATACCCAGTTAAGGCAGTGGAGAACTTTCGGAGGGGAATTAACAGGAGATAACTGATAACTGACATCCATTAAAGATGGCACATGGAACTAGAACAGTCTACCCCAGTGAGTGAAATAAAGGGTTCAGTTTGACATTCCAACTACCTGAAGAAGGCCGGAGTGTACAACAACCAAAACGTTGTAATAAATATGGCGACAAAGATGAGGACAATAGTCCGAATAATGTAAATAATGTAAAAAATGACAACCTGTATCTGTCCTCCATATGAGAGCTAACGCTTCTTTTTCAATATTTGAATAGTTAACCTCAGCTGATATTAAACTTCTAGAAAGGTACATTATAGGATGACCTTCTTGAGACAAAATTGTTGAGACAGCATGCTCACTTGCATCCATAGTTAGTCCATTTCTTTTTTAGGGTCAAAAATAATTACAACTGTTTTTTTTATAAATTCTTTCTTTAAATTTTTGAATGCTCTATTCTGCCATTGAGCTCATTTAAATTTGTTGATCTTTTTTCATAACTCTGCCATGAGTTCTATCAATTCACTTTGGCAAATATCTGCTATAAAAATTGGCTAGCCCTAAAAAAAGATTCCAATTATTATTTTTTTTTTTTTATTTGTAGCTGTAGATACCGCTGTGGTGATTTTCTTTATCAAATTTGTGTCTGGTGAAAATTTGTCTTTGGAAATCTCAGAATTGTGTTGCAATTTAACATACATTCTTGTTTATGGTCATCCTAACATTTTTGAATTTGTTTAAAACATACTCCATTTTTTTGCTTTAGCTCTACTCTATATGTAGCACCAATATATATATCGTCTTGTTAGATGATCATATTCTTAACATCACCAGTTAGTACATTTTCAATGGCTCTTTCAAAAATAGCATTTGCTCTGTTTACACCATAAGGTATATGCTTCCATTTGAGTAATTGTTATGGTAATTTACCCACGCACGCATGGACTCTCCCAGCTATAAATAGGAGCAGGTACTGCCTTTTAGTGAGTGTAGTTTCCAGCAGTTAGCTCTAACAGTCGGACTGAAAATTCTTTCTGTAACACTCTCGTTTGTATATGTTTGTATTACTGTTTCTGTTAATATATTTGTTTAACTCAATTCCTCTCTTTGTGTATTTATTTCTGGCCATAACAAGGCCACAACAGTAAGTCTGTTGGAGAGTTAATCATATTGACCTCTTTAAATTTTCCATGAGTTTGTGTTTGGTTAGAGGCAGATTTAAGGTCTATTTTAACAAAGTATTTCATTCCAGACAGCTTGTGAATATCAGTTTCAATGTTAGGAATAGAGAATAAATCAGAGCATATTTTGGGGTTTACTCCTATTTTGTAATCCACACATATCCTTAAATCTCCATTTTTTTTTTGGTAAAACAATGGCCTAATTACTATCACCAAAAGGAACATACTCTAAAATTCCTTGATCCACCATTTTTTAGTTTAGCAACTACTAAACGTAGCATGTGAATGGACAGTCTACAAGACCCAAAGTAAAAGGATTGACTATTTTCTTTTAATTCAATGCATGCTTTGTATCCTTTTAACATCCCCATACCATTACTTTCCAATTTCTTGGGCCATTCATGGGCAGTAAAAGAACAGTCATATTTTCACAAAGTCAGGCTCATCCAATGTTAGAAATCCTATCAGCAATGCCATATTGTTGTAATGTCTTCTAGTCTGTGATGTAGAAGTTCCCCACCTACTGAATGACGACTGACTTATTTAGTAGTTGCTGGACTCTGTGTAAAATAGAACAAGTTCATTTTGCCTATGTCACTACACTTTTCATTAATTTTATAAGCCATGTTTGTCCAAATGAAGAGAAATGAACATGGTCGATATAGTGAGAAATCAGGAATGTATTAAATTTTTTCTTCCTTTTTATTTTTTAAGAACTTTAAATAATTTTCTCTCTTCAGATGAAATCATATTTTGATACGTATGATGAGTTCTTCCTTGAAAATATGCCCCAATTGCATCGACATTTTGAGAAGCAGTGTTTAACTCCAGACATTTATATCATTGATTGGTAAGTATCATAATTTTGTAGCCAGAAGACACATACAATTTTTTTCTTTTCCTTTAATGAAAAATTTTTCTTTTTTTAATCATTTCACCCCAAGCAAGGCAATTAAGAAAATTGAAACAAAATATTTAAAAGAAAAAAAAAAAAGACTTATTCTATCAACAATATTAATTCAGTAAATATTTTCATGAATTTTTAAGCTGAAAAATCCCAATACTTTTTCTTGGGATTTTTTAAATGAGGAATCCCAATAATAATGATAATTTCTCATTTTAAAAATATGCTTTTCTAATTTTAGTTTTCATATACACGAACTAGTTTCATGTCACTAATCAATCAACATGCTTTTCTTAAATGGAAATATAGTGAAGTAGAAGGGAGGTAACTCTTTCTGACTCTTAGCTTGTCACATTAAATGAATTAATAGAAACTAGCTGGATTCACGAATAATTTAAATATCGTCGAATGAATATTTATCAGTTAATCAAAATTGTTTAATTTGCACTATTTTGGTTAATAACAATATATTATTATTCTTTATTTCATATTTAATAATATAAGTTTATTTTAAGTTGTGTGAAAGTATACATGAAATACATCTGTTACAGCACTTTCCGATATACAATGTTTCTAGTGAAGGTGATTCCCCTCCTTCGATGATGAGTGGATTCGTTTTGAGGTATCACTTTAAATCATACACTGTTCATTGCCCTTGCTCTTGAAAATGCTAGGTAAAGCTGGCCATGGCAACAAGTGTATGCCAACTCTATCAAATGTTTACCCCTGTGCTTTATTATCATAGAATAGGACAGACAAACAAGGAACTTGGTCCGATGAATGGAATGTTTGCATCACTTGGTTTAAGTTTGATTCTTAGAATCGGTACTCTCATCCGAGAGTGAAATCTACTTATAATCAACATTTCAATGCTATGCTCGTGGAGCTGAAGTATAATACCTCCAAGCGAATTCCTTTGCATAGTCCTTGTGTTATAGAGAGGTTTCTAAGAAGCATAATAATTGCTCCAACTTTTAAGTTAAGGTGGTGTGGAGGCATTCCAGAAGGTGTAATAGTTTATAATTTCATAGGATAATTCTGGGCTTTTTCTTCATTATTAGAAGTTACAGAATCAGTGCTTAGATGTTGTCTTAGTTTCAATGGGCAATCTACTTAGAATTTCTTCATTTACTGCTAAGCAGATAGAATTTTTAGGGATATATATATATATATATATATATATATATATATATATATATATATATATATATATATTCACTAATTTGCTGAAAAAACAGCACAGCATGATAAAACAAGTCACCAAATTTAATAAAGACAGTTTTATCATCAAAATGTTTATTATTAAGAGGAAAGACCAAAGTATTTTTAATTATCTTTTTAAATTTTTTTTTAGCACGTTCAAAATTTTGGTTAAAAAACTTTTTTCTTTTTTTTTTTTAATGCCAACAGTTACATAATATTTACCATTTAGTTTTTTTTAGTGCTTTTTTTCATTTGAAAAAGACATTAATTTGGAAATGTTTGCAAAAATCAAATAATTGTTGGATTTTAATGAAACTTTCAGAACTTATTCACAAATAAATGAAATTATTTTAGAGACGTTTATTTTTTAGGAAGTCATGGTAAAAATACCTTTTTTACATCAACTACCCCATCCTCTTACTCAATTTTATGAAAACTCGAAAATTCAACTTTGTGTAATTTTGTGATTATGTTAAAAGCAGAAGACTTTGAGGAATATAAATTGTTTTTTTTTGGGGGGGGGTTATAAATCTAAGTGCATAGCTAACCAAAATTCAGCTCTGAATTGTAAAATACAAAACCCAATAAAACTAAACATTATTTAATTAGAAAAAACTTTTCATGGCTTTTATGAATAATATATATGTTAAGGACACTATTGTCAAATAGCCAAAATATTTTTCTGATGAAAAATGAATTTTTACAAGAATTGTTTTCTTTTTTTTTTCCTTCAATTTTAAATACAAAATGTGATAAAGTTGTTAAATATTTTAAAATTAAGTTTGAATCCATGTCTTTTTGGAAATGCTATTATTAAGTAGATCTATCTTTACAGATCATAAATTTGAAAGCTTATTACAATTTTTTAATATGCTAAAAAAATGTATTAAAAATGTCTTCTCCAAAACTATGGATGCACAGTTCAGAAATAATAGGTCAAGTGTTTTAAGTGTTATTTCACCTGATAGCAAGGACCAGGCTTCAGAAATTGCTTTGCTTTAATTCTGGCTAGCACATGTTAAATTCTCTGACTGACCAACCATCATCATCACATTTTCAAGATTTTTAATTTTCTTTTTTACATCTTATTTCACTAAATATTTTGATTTTATTTTTTTAAATATAATTATTTTATTGTTTTTAAGTGAGAGACATACTGCAATTATTAATTATTTTCTTTCTTAGATTCAATTTTAGGGATGGAAAGAGTACAGGCTTTGGAGTTTCTTCATTTAAAAAAAATCAATAAAATACTAGCCATTTGAAAGTATTTAATTTTTAAAAATTACTTTAAAATTTGAAAATAATGTCACTTCCATCTTTCTGTCTGATAAATTCCCCATTACATTAATTGTCAATACATTGATTCACACCTCCAAAACTAATCACCACAGTTAGACATGCTTCTCTTATTTCCAACTAAATTTTTTCTGATAAAAAATCAAGTAATGTTTGTTTCCAATTACGTTAAGTAAACTTTAAATTTTCTAATTTTCCTCAAATAACTTGAAAAAGGTATAGTTGATTTTTACAAGATTTTTAAATGGAGAATTTCACTTTTGTTTACAAAGATGTCTAAAACAGCAGACATGATCGATTTTATGGCAATTTTGCTGACTCAAAAAAAAAAAAAGAAAGAAAAGATTTTTTTAACTAAAATTTCAGACATGCTAGGAAGGATTAAAAAATGTAAAAGAATAATCAAAAAATACTTTTGGTTTTTCCTCTTAATAACAACAACAACAAACATTTAGACAATAAAAAAAAAAATTATTATCAAGTTTGGGGCCTTTTTCATCAGTGTATGTACTTGCCATGTCCCCAGTTTAATTCACAAGTGTCTAAATTAAAAGTAAAAAAAATTTTGCTTGATCCATTCAATAGTTTGGACATAAAACAAAAATTAAACTATAACTTTTTTGTTTTTTATTATTCACTAATTTACGTAAGTAAAGCAATGGCAGAACACACATGTACAGAAATGATGATGCCCATAAATCAATAAATAAGCAACAGATACAGATTTTATTTTGATTTTTAAATATTAATGGGTCCCATCTTACAGAATTGTAGTTTTAATTGTTAATTAAAATCTTAATTTAACACTTTAACTGGACGGTTTGTTTACATTATTAGCTTAGGCACAATTTTTTAAAAGATTAAAAAAGAAACACACGCATGCACATACATTTGAATTATTTTGTTATTATTATTAACAATAATAAATTATGACTAGAGTTTTGTTTAACAAACTTCCTAGAGATGGCACTGTGAACATGTTAATCAAAATAGAGATGTCCGCTTTTATCCAACCCATACTTCTTCCATGTTTATTGAATAAGAGTAGAGGTTTATCTCTCGTTTCCTGTTTAGGGTGTGATTTACCAGTTTCTATCTACCATGGCTTTAAAGATTTAACTCTTTTTGGTGATCTGACTGATCAGTGTCTGCAAATTTTTATTTTGCGGCAACTGGGTTGGCAGTATTCTGATTGCTGTATCCCAATGAATAAGAAGCCCAAACTCTTTGATAGCACTTGGAGAGGTGGCTCTGGTCAATAGTCACATAATATCAGATATTTGCAGTGCCATGTCATGCATGGATGTGTCACTGCATATACTTCTGGTGGGCAAGCCTGAGACCACATTGCCACAAGATATTACAAACTTCGAGCCACTTTGTATTGACTGATAATTATTTTGGCCTTTTTCTCCTGAAAAATCTTGGGTGAAATGATTAAAAATGCAAAATAGTTATATTCTATTCTGGTGAGGCTTTAAATCTTACAAGAATCATTTTTATGAAGCAAATTTCTGTCCAAAATGTCACTTTCAACTTTTTGATAATTGTTAAAGTTTAATTTCAACTTCCTCTTTTAAATTTATCAATTTTGGAAATTTAAGAAAGTAAACAGCTGCTGAGAAATAAATTCTCTTGGAATGTGCAATGTTGCAGGAAAGGTGCATATTTTATCTTGAATCAAAAGATTCAGTAAATTTTTATAGGTTTTTTTTTCTTTTCTTTCTTTTTACTTTTTTTTCTTTTTTTTTCTTTTCTTTTTTCTTTTTTTTTCTTTTCTTTTTACTTTTTTTTTCTTTTCTTTTTACTTTTTTTTTTTACTTTTTACCCCAAGTAAGGCAATAAAGCCATGGAGATGGAAGGAGTTACTGAGTGTAAAATAATATGTAGAAAAAAAAACCCCCAAAAAACACAATTAAGGAGAAAGAACAAAAATTAAGAAAGCAAAAGATAACGATTAACATTGCATTTAAATTTTTGAAGATCAAAGTTGACTAAGAAGCTGGAAAGAGAGTTCCACAAACAAGAAGTGTGTAGAATTTACAATTACATCTAGCAGCCATTACAACTGTAAAATGATGAGACCCTTCTGTCAATCTATTACTGAACTTAAATTCATAAAGTCTAGGTAGCATAGAAGAAAGATCATCAGAACAATTACCATGAAAGTATTTATAGAAAAGGCACAGGGAAGCTGTTACAGGAATGGGAAAGTGACTGAAGACAAGATACCAATAACATTGCAGATTCTTCTCTGAATTTTTATCAAAAATTTCTAAATGTATATCAGGAGCAGCAGATCAGATGTGGCAGCAATAATTAAAATTGGAACGAATGGTAGAGACTTGTAAATATAAAAGATAGATTCTGATGAGAAAAATTGTTTAGCACGACACAATGATCCAACATTCTTAGAAGCAGATTTAGCAATTGATTCAATCTTTCCACTTCACATCCGCGAGAGAACATTAGCCTGAGAAGGCGCAATGAGTCACTCTTCTGGAGATTAGCATCAGCCATCAGCAAATGGAAGTTTAAAAGGGTTCCATTTTTGAGGCATTAAAGCCACTCCTTGTTCCATTTAACAACAGATAGGTAATTTTTGAGATCAGCTGCCAATTCGACCATATTGAACCAAGCAGATTTACTATTAAAACAGGAGTAAATAGTTGTCCTCAGCAGAGATACTGAGATGTCATTTTTTTTTTTCTAGGCTTTTTTTTAAACTAGTTACATAATAATAATTGGAACAAGAAAAATCATTTCCCTCTTACCAATGTAATCATGTTAATCTGTTCGGCTTACGGTTAAATCACGCTGAAACACCGGTTCTCATTCGATCACCGAAGTTAAGCATCGTAGAGCCAGGTCAGTACTTAGATAGGGGACCGCTTGGGAACACCTGGTACTGTAAGCCCCCAAAGTCCAACCCTTACCTCACAGTCGGTGGGGGGGTGTAAACGGTAGTGTCAGAGCTATGCCGCTTCGGAACTTCGTTCCTGGTAGGGCCACCAAAGGCAGACAGGTCTGACACACACGCCGGCTAACAAGGGCTCTGGTGAAAATCCAAGGAGCGTCTGCATCGGTAACCGGCGGCTTCTGGTCGTTCCTGTCTCTGCGTCTGTGGGAATCCCGCGGCAAGCAAGAACGTTATCCGAGTAGGCCTGGGTACCCTACTTCTGTAATTTATCCCAAGAATCTTCTTCTCATAACAGGAAGAAGCCGGCTCAATCCGCCCAGGGTGAATGCCGCATCAGTACAGTACAGTAGTAATCTGTTCTGCAGGGATTTCTCTTTCATGCTCTCACCGCAAAAAAGAAACTGGACATTATTTCTTACAATCATATATTGTGATTTGAAATAACTTCAATATTTCAATTGGGAATAATTTCTGCAGTAAATTTACTTCCTAATTTTATAAATTTTAATTATAAATCTATAAAAGCTAGAATTTAGTGTAACTTCATAGATCCCAAATTTGTTCTTTTTAATGTCATAAAAGTTGTGTGTGAAGTTAAAATGATTCTGATAAAGGTATTATGAAGCGAAGGAAAACCCTATTTGGATTGAATTCCATTTCTCAGAATTTAAATAATTCTGTCAGATTTGAATTGTCTCCCTTGCATTAAAAAAGTAAAAAAAATTTTTTTTTTTTTTTCTTTCCCCAGGATATTCACTATTTTCAGTAGATCTTTACCCCTTGACGTTGCCTGTAGGGTGTGGGATGTTTTCTGTCGTGATGGCGAAGAATTCCTTTTTAGAACTGCCTTGGGTAAGTATTTTATAAATTTAAAAACTATTTGCAATTAACAATGTTTGTTATAAGTTTAATTTGATCTAAAATTGTTCCATTGCATACATCCTAAGTTTCTATTTTTTTCTTGAAGTTTTTCAAGAAAAAAATAGAAACTTAGGATGTATGCAAAATGGATCAAGAATTTTTTCATTTCCTTTCCCCCCCCACACACACACACCAGGAAATTTTTGACTGCACTTAATATTCATGTTTTATCTATTAACTTCAGTCAACAGATTTTGATAAGGTACTTTAGTTTTTATTAAAAACTAAGTCTTGATTGATGAATTTGTTTTTGTTTTCAGGTATCTTGCATCTTTATCAATCTCTCCTGCTTGATATGGACTTCATCCATCTTGCCCAGTTTCTCACTAAACTGCCAGAAGACATTTCATCAGACCAACTATTTAGGAACATTCAAGCTATCCGACTTTCTATTGACAAGAAAAAGTTTGCTCAAGTCCTTGCTGGACATCGAGAGGCAAGGGAACGCTCCGATTATTTCTGATCCCTTCTTTAAAGAATCCAGCAGAACCTTTTTATGACTGTGATTAACAATCGGATTTTTGCTCGCTTACTCACTCGATCACTCATACTACACTTGCTACTGACATCTGGCACTAATTCACCAAAATAGAACACTGACTGTTTCAAAAAAGAATATCCTTTAAAAGGATCCCAAATCCTAATCTGCTGATGTCAGTTGCTGATGACAGCAGCGGTGTGATTGCTGGTTCTTGTGTACAGGGAGATCTGAAAAATGGAAAAAGTTTTTTTTTTTTTTTGGTTTTTTTTGTGGTCACTTCATATTTGGCAGTAAATGGACAGTTCTGTGTTTTCAACTATCCCACAATGCCTCAGCCAAGTTATAAACAAAATTTTATTTTTTGCTTTCTTTTTGCTCTTAATTTTTTGTTTAGTGACGTTAATTCAACATTTTTGATTGACTTCGCTTTTCTGTTTTTAATTTAACAACAATTTTTTTTTTTATGCTTTATAAATACAGCAACAAAAACAAAATGGGGAAATTAGTCAGTTCTTTTTCTAATAATTGATATAATTATGACTTTGTTGAATTTTCTTTCCCAATTGTTGTTCAGTTTGAAACTTTTCTGTTGATCAAAAGGAAAAACATGTACATAACCACTTAACAAATGCATTAATTTTTACATCAAATTTTATTAAAAAATAAACCCCGGCTTTTCCTTTTCATTTCAATTTTTAATCTCCAAAATGGAATGCCAGTTGGTCGATGACATCTTCCCTCTCTATTTTTTTTTCCTTTGTTTTGTACAGATAACAATGTTCTTTTCTTGGCTGTTATTGCAGGATTGTGGGGCTGTGCTTTTCACAGATCAACTTCATGTTGGTCCCTCTTCCCCCAACTCCCTTACTTCAAAACATGAATATTCAAATGACCCCACCGATTTGTCCTTTTGGTTTACTCATTATATCCAAGGTCATGTCATCAAAATGTTTGGGCCCATAACAAAATAATTTCTAAGTTCTGAGGTAGATATATTGGCTTTCATTAATATTTCCATTGTCTTTATCTTGAAAATTGAATAACCTACTTGATTTGTACTTGAAGCTGCTTCTCAAGTGCAACAGGTTTTATGGTGTCTCTGCCAATCCCCACCCCCAGCTCCATCTAGCCAATTATTTTGATTTTTGGCATCCTTTTTCTATCACTGCCGGCTGACACGGCCATTTTGGACATACAGCCAAACTGTTCACAATTGCAAATATCAATTATTCATCATTGGTTTGGTTCAATATTTGATCCTGCCCCCACCCCACCTGTTATCAACACCAATTTGTTCTTGACCCTCCCCCTCCCCACACACACACAAACACTTGTGGTTATAATTATTCATGTTGACATTTTTTCTTGTTGTTTCTTTGTATTTGGTCTTTATCCCCGACCCCCATCACACCTCCATCTGTGGATAGAAAAATCTTCTTTTTTTTATATTGGACATTATCTACAGATGTGGATGTGCTATGTAATGTGATGTAACCAAGATATACATACATATGTTAATATAGGATTTGCGTGGTGGCTGAGTTAGTTGTCTTTTTTTTCACTGGTGCCAGTGGTCAGGTTTAAAGCCCCAAGTAGAAACTAGGATTTTTTTTTTTTATTATATAACCAGAAAATCAGGTCAACCTATTGGAAGATTAAGACTATATTCTTTCTCTCCCTCATTTGACCTTTGTACCAGTAAAGTTAAATATCTACATATACTTATGTTCTAATGTATATATCTTGAAAGATTGTTCTAGTAAGTTTGCTTTTCTTTACCCAACCCTAAATTTTCCAATTACTTTGGCAACTGAATCTCTCCAGGTGAATAGGGAGGTATTAGTCTTCAAGAATAATTTTTTCCCTTTCACTCAATATCCCTCCCAGTTTTAAGTTGCTGTATGGCTGAAGAATTCCATCAACAAAGCCACCAATTCTGTGAGATAGTTTTGGAATGACTTGAAGCTTATTTCAGTCACTTGCTCTTGAAATGGTAAATGTCTGAGGTTCTGAGACTAAACCAAATAAATTTTTTTGAACTTTTAAAATTATTAAAGCCAAGTGTTTCAAAACAGAAATATTAAGATTTCATAAAGTCTATACTTTTCTTGAAAAAAAAAAAAAAATTGGTTATGTGTAAAAAAAAAAAAAAAAAAAAAAAAAATGATCCCAAATATTAAAATTTCAGTTCCTCCACTATTAACAGATTTCAACACAGAATTTTATTTTCTTGAAATTCTAGTGGACACTTCAAGAAAAAAAATGCAATGAAATAATTTCATGTTTTCAAATAAATTTTCCATCTATTTTGTCAGTTATGTTTCTAGAAACTGCAAAATGTTGTTTGATCTTTTTCCATTGTGTCCATTTTTGTATCTTTGCTCTCTTCTAATGTGACATACCAGTGTCAAGTCCCCAAAGTGCAAATTGTCGGAATCTTTCAAGTACAAAACTTGTCCATAAAATTTTGGTCAGCCCTTCCTGTGTCTAAATAGTTGTTGTTGCTTTTGGCTGACAACACAGAAAATGGTCGCCATGAAACTGGATTGTAGTTGCCCTCAAAACTTTTTTTTCCACCTTCCATTTCAGTAAAGCTTTGAAATTCAAATACCCACTTGTTTTAGAACTAGGATTTGCAGACAGACAGGAAGATCTTTGCATTATGACCACCACCACATTCTATGCGTCTTTATCCTTAAATAAGTTTTTTTAAAAGTAACAAAAATAAATCCACTGAAGAACACGTGTAAGAGGGGGGGAAAAAGTCCCTTCCAATAGATTTTTTTTTTTTCTGGGTAAATTTGATTGGTTTTCATGACTTTTAACTCCGCCTCCAAATTGGCTTTGATGCTTTTTACAATGTTTGAGTTTTTTCTTTTTATAAAACAAAACTGAAAATTTTTTATAATCTCATGTCATTAACAGAATAAACTTTGAAAATTGAACATTGTTCCTTTCTTTAGTCCATTTTTTTTTTTTTTTTTTTTTCCTTAAACCATGTCTCATCCATTTAACTGTACTTCATCTTAGCATCTGAAAAAAGACCTTGTTACCACCATGTTAAGATAACTCTCATTTCAGCAAAGTTTTTTTTTCTATGGTACAAAGAGTATTTACAAAAATGAAAGAACTTGAATTTGTCAGGTAACAGTTCTAAAATAATTGTTGAATATTTGTTTCATTATTTTTTTCCATCTGATTTATTTTTACTTTCTTTTCAGATCCCTTCCTGCTTCTGTTCTTCAAATTCTCAAAAGCTTGAATAATAATTGCATTGGAAAAAAAAAAAGGTGTTGCTTAAAGCAAGCCTGGGACAAGATTTCTGTTCAACTTATTTTTAACTCTTTTTGTAGTAATAATGAGCAGAAGGAAAAGGTGATTGTAGAGGAAAGGGTAAATACATCTTAAGTCTTATTTATTGTCTTTTGAGAAGAGGCGGAATAATGGAAGTGGTATCAAAAGGAAGGAAATTTACTTTTTTAAAATAAATCTTGACTCATATACTGCAGACGTGCAGCTAAATAGTTAGAACATTAGCATTCTGACCACAAGGGCAAAGGTCAAATTTCATCCAGGTTGATTTAAGGTGACTTCATGATCCCAGAATTTTGTATCTTTTAAGATGTGTCTGAAAAGAACATTGGTGAGTCCAAGTCTTGTGAGTGAAATTGGATAGATGTGATGGTTGTGCTAGTACAACCATCAACAAGTCATAAGGACAGTTTAATCATAATGGCCTCTTGTTGAATTAGTCATTGTGCCAGATTATGTGCTCTCCCTCATCAACTGTAATGTCAAATTTGCTCTTAGAACCAACCTGTCTTTTATACTGCAACTACAAGTGTTGGAGAAACAATGATGCATGCAAGTTGGAAAAATAGTAGCCAGTCATTAAGTATTATTAGCCAGGTGTTGATCAGATTTGGAATCTTGAACATTGAGCCCGCATGGAATCTCTTGCTATTCTCCTGTCAATCATATTTGTATGTCTTGAACAATCCAGTTCTATAATTTGGGAATCTTGAGCCTAATGTTTGTACTTGAGAATTTTTGAGTAACCTTTTGTTTTTAATCAAAGGCTCCCACATGATGTTCATCTATGTGCCTGTACAACAGACTCCTGTAAACATTTTCCATTACCTGTGCATCCATTTGCTTACTACACAGAAATACTCTTCCTTGGAGGTCAAGGCAGCCAACTGACTTTACTAGAATCCAAGGAAATCATTCACAGGTGACAAAAAGAAAAACAGCACTTTGCCATTCTTCATTTCTGAAATTGCAGCCAACTGCAACAACCAAAATGTGACTGATGACTTTAACCTGTTAGGGAAGACATTACCACTAACTGTGCAAACTTATGAGTAGTAAACAATTCCTTTGTTCTCTTGAAGTCTGAAAAGATGCAATGTTTCACGTTGCTTCTTGATACCATTTGTCTGTGACAAATTAGCAAAGTGCTACAAAGCAAAAAGAAGCTTCTCTGTTCTGGAATATCATAGTCTATATAACAGGACGACATTTCAAACGTGGTTTGACACTTTGCAGACAAGACCCCCCCCCCCATAGAGGAGAACATGATTAAGGACTGTGTGTATGCCATCTTGTGCAGTAAGAAATATAGAGAAACAGTTTGCCCTCTTAAGGTAAGATGAGATCATTATAAAGCCATAACACAAAGGAAAATAGAAGAATCAGACATAGCTGTCCCCATATGGAGAATTGAGATCACCACCCCCTGTTAGATGAGCTTGAAATAAGAGAACATCACTGGAAAATATGTAAACTTAAGGGATCAGCACATATGCTAGGCCACAAAAATCTAAGCTGACCAAGCATAGAAATAAATACAATATGGGAACTAGTAATATGGAGTGATAGAGAAAAAAAAAAAAAAAAAAAAAGACAATATGAACTCTGGTTTAAAAAAAAAAAAAAAATTTTTTTTCATATAATGCAAAATTGTCTGTTTCACTTTTTTCAATTAAAAGGGACACAACTCTTTGAAAAATTCTTGCATCAAAGACTGCCTGAAAACAAATGAGTTAGAATCACAGGTGACTTTGAAGCAGGAAGATTTGCTGTTGCAGCTTGGCAATGGAACCATCAAAATGGACCAAAGTAGAAATATTTCACTCTTGATTAACCATATTTATTCAAACATTAAACACCATTTCTGGATTCAAATTGGCTTTGTAAGATTGATTTTTGGTAGATATGGCAAACTGGATAGCATCAAATGGAAACTTCTCCAAGAAATTCCAAAAGAAAGCATGAAGTACTTTTCCACTGTGGTTGAACAAGTTCCTGTACTCATTGATATTCCTCCTGGAATGCCATCACACAAGCTGGAACTAAAAGAAAATGTGCTGCTTATGCTATTGTGAAATCTGTATCCTTAATGTTCCAGAAGAGTTTTAATTCCTAGAATCCCCTTACTTCCTCCAGATCTCCCTTTTGAGTTCAAGTTTCCAGTGAGAGCGATACAATGTCAATTGATAAGTCCCAAGTACGATCATTAAAAGTAACTAAACTTCATCTGATGGAACCCTTTTTCCATAGCCAGCTCGATGTTGGTTGTTCAAGATTGTTTTCATTCTCAATCTATTTGTACTGACCCCAAACAGGAAAACCAAAAATGTTTATCATGCAGCTTTGCAATAAGTTCCAAATAGACAAATTATATCAATATTTTAATGAAAACTGTTTAAAAAATATTAATATATACTCTATGAATGAAATGTCATTGTTGGGCCAAAGGCCCAATCAAGAGCCCCTCTGCAGGAGCGCTATTTTAAATACTTCTCAATAGGGCAGCCTTTAAACTAGTTAAGTTTATAAGTCACAAAATTTATACACTGATGTTCTCAAAAAAATGCATGGCCCAGTGACTTGACCAAAGAGTTGTAAGTTCAATACTTGGCTACTGCAGCTCTGAACAAAAACTTGGAGTTAAATTAAAGGGAGATAGCTGAGACACCCAGAAGAGGCATGGCATGTGGAATTAAAACAATCTAACCTTGTGAACAAAATAAAGGGTTTGGTTCAAAATTCCAATCACCTGAAGAAGGCTGGAGCAAACAATAGTTGAAATATGAATATGGTTAAAAAAAAAAAAGCATTCCTGTAATATTTTAAAGTAAATATTTGCTTCAAATCAGATTCTTCAAATAAAGTTTCAGAAAAGCATAGTTTTTGAAATACAGCAAAGTATTTTGCTTATTGGAAATATTAAATCTTAATTCATAAGCTTGCAATTAAAACTAAAGTAATAACATCTAGAAGGATTTTTTAAATTTTTTAAAATTCATTCTAAACCTTTCTGGTATTTTTTCTTTTTTGGACGTCTCTTAACCGTACAGTGGATAATGTCCATTTTTCAAGAAAAATATTGGAAATTTTTGCCAGACAGTACTTTTGTAACTTTTCTTTTAGCAATAATAAAAAAAAAAAAAAAAAAAAAAATGGAGGGCAAGTGTAATAACCGAAAGAATATCCAATCATTGGGAATTTATGAGGCAAGGGGATGTCATTAAAAAATATAAAAAAAAAAAAAAACAAACAAACAACACTTTTTATAAAAATATAAAATTTAATACAAATATAAATTTATTTACATATAAAAGTGAAAAGCTGCCCTGAGGGAAAAAACAAAAAAAAACAGGAATATTTTTTTTAAAGACAGAATGGAAGCAGTAAAAAACAACAGGAAAGAGGGGAGAAAAAAAGACCTGATGCAGGATGTGGTGTGAATGTCATGAAAATATATTCTTTCAGAGAAAGATATTAAATATAAATTAAATATTGCTTGATGCTGAGTGAAGCCGAATCTCTGGGGGTGAGGGGCTCAGATTCTCCTTGCTATTTAGAGGGGTGGGGGAAGAAGGTGACCTTGTATCACAAGGATAGAATCCAGCAGTTAAAAAAAAAAAAAAAAAAAAAAAAAAAAAAGTTCTGCAAAGAAGCTGTTGATTAAAGTTTCATCGCCTGCCTTAAAAATTATAAAAACCCATCAACAGCATGGGGGAATAGGAAAAGGCACACTAGTTTTACAGACTGTTGGTATGAAGGAGGGTGGGGGAGCTTGCTTTAACAGGTTTCTTGTAATGGGTGAAAAGCAGAATTATATTTGATAAATTGGACTAAGTCTGGCAGAAGTTTGATTCCTGACCAATGCTCAGGTCTTCATTGCATTGAAATTTTCTTTTTACCTAGTGACACAAAGACATCACAAAATGAATTTCACTAAATAGTCTATTTTTTTGTATACAAGTGTTTTCAATCATGCATACAGTTAAGAGATGGCGAGAAAAAAGCGCAAAAAGGAAAGATAAGACTCAGAAATTGATTGCCTGTTGCCACTCCCTAAAAATCTTTAATTTTCCCAATTCACAGCCATTATTGTAAAAGTGGACACTTCATATATCACAGGCAAAATACACCCTGAAAAGTATCAGTAATGAGTACTGAATATATATATAAGTGAAAGTGTTGAGGCAGTAACCAGAAGAAGGGGGGAGATGAGTTGGGAGAAGCGAAGCAATTTCTCATGCTTATTAGACTCGAGTAATTTGGATTATATGGAATCATGAAAGACGTTTGGCATTTTCCAGCAGTGTCATCTCCATAACAAGGAAGAATGTAAATTTCCCTGACAACCCCCCAAAAAAAAAAAACAAAACACACCAACATCAATGCCTCCGGTCTCTTGAATATTGTTTCAAAAGCTGTTCATATGAAGTTTCTTCCTTTCTAACAGTCGCAGGACCATATTCTTCTATCTGTTCTGTGATACCATCTGAGGAGAAAAGAAAAATAACTAAGATGTCTGTAAAGTCTCCAATAGGAATTCTCTATTACTACCATACTAACAAGTTGAACATGTTCAATCTATGCCAGAAGCTCTCATAGGCTTCTCCTTTTAAAGAAATTTTTAGATAATTACTTTTTGTTAATCTTCTTGCAGTCACATAAATGGTTAACCAAGTCAGAAGTTTAGGAAAATTGATAAATTATAAATTCTTACCAAGGTCAGCATACTCTTCTTTGCAAAATTCTCGACGACCTCCATAACAAACCTCAAAAGGAAAGTCAGGGATTTGATTTGTAACTGTTATAAAGAAAAGAAAATTTTAAATTTGGCAAAGAAATTTGTCAAAAGATTTTATGATTTCAAAACTTTTCTGAAGAACATTGTTCAAATTATCATTGCCAATTTAACTTATTCCACAGGAGTTTTCCATGCATTGGTATAATCATTCAAATCTATATCTGTTTATTTTTCCTATTTATAATAAAATTATTAGCAAATAAACTTACCTTCCAGACAACGAGTGGCATCTCCTTTGTCTTTAAAAGTCACAAATCCATAGTTGTCCCTACAAATAATGAAAAGGAGCTGTTAAATGGATGGGGGTCTGGATGTGCACACATGTCAAAGATCACACTGAAGGCAAATGTGTAGAGTTAAATGAAGATCAGAATAGTTTGACTGCAATAGAAATCCTGAAGACCACAAACAATTACACATTGTTGAAGGGTAAATTACTATGAGAGGGTGTACAACTTGGGTAGAAAAGGAATCAAACTCAATTTTGGATTGAAACCTTTTATTTTTTTTTTTAGCCAAATGAAAGAACATAAAAAGAAAAAAAAAAAAAAAAAAAAAAAAATTCAATTTTGTACCAGACAAAAGATGGTTTTCAGTCCAAAATTAGATTTTTTTTTCTTTTCATAGTTTTCTATCTATACCTTTGTGAGAGAGGAATTCTTGTACCAAAGAACAATAAAAGTGAAGAAAATTCACCTGTACAAGTCAACTGACATTTCTGGGCACTACCAAAACTGTATCTTAATTCTTTGGAGCTATCTAGCGTTCATTCTCACAAGCTTAAACTTTAAAAAATAAACAAAAGGAACATCATTTGTTGTCTACCCACCACCAAACAACAAACGAATGTATTTATTCCTTTGTGTTGTTAAAACTTATTTCTAGCAAATACTAGTTATCCTTGCTAATTACAATCAAATTCATTAGTTCTAAACAAATTGTGACATTAAAGAGAGATTTGCTTTAAAATTTAATGTGTATTAAATGCAGAATTCTATTAATCATTTGAAAGAATTACTTACTTTGAAGATCTGAAATGCAGACTAACTTTCTCAATTTCCCCATGTGACCTAAACAGGTCTTGTAGTTGATGTTCAGTGAAATTATTGGGCAGTTTTCCCACATAGACTACTCGCCGTTGTTCCTGCAAATAGAAATGGTCCAAAGTGACAAATATATCAAAGGCAGTTGTCAGAAATTGAAGAATTCATGTGAAAAGTACCGGGGGAAGGGGGGGACAAAATTATGCCCCCTTGACTCCGTTTTGACACTGATTCTATCAAAGTGTGTCGAGATGTGACCACCAAGGTTTTATATTCTGTATCAAATATAATCACAGTCACAGTGAATTGCACACGGTTTATGATACAATTCCTTTAGGACAACTTGATATTCTGCTTACAAACAAAAGAAATTATTGTCTACAGACAAATTTGAATTAATTCATTTTTCTTTTAACACCCACCCCAAACTTCTTTGTGAGGTTTCCATCAGCGAGGTCAGAAAATATTGCCCCAGAGAAGCATTTAAAATAGAAATGGTGGTCAGCCCATATTAATTACTTGAATTTTAGGTCATTCATAAAATAAAGACATTTAAATTGCAGCTGTCAAAAAGCAATAGCAATTTAGATGACCGGATTTAATTTGGAAGATTCCATTATTGAATTTTAACAATCTAAATAAAATAAAATATTAACTTACATCATCAATGTGTTCTGTTGGTTGTTTTGACTTGTATCGTTGCCTGAAAAAATAAAAAATGAAAACAAATAAAAAAAAAAAAAGCTAGACAATCATTACAAATTATTGTTAATGACATTCTAAAATCTGCAATTCAAGTAAAAATAAAACCTTTTTCCTTTCCACCCTTTTTTCTGTTGATGGAAAAAAAAAAACCAAAATAAAAGGAAATAGAAAAAAAAAAAAAAAAAAAAAATCTGTCTTATTATCTTTAATGTAAGTTGATTAAGTAAAGCCTACCATAATGTTATAGGTGAAGGGGTTTAATTGTAGATGAGGGACAAGATTAAGAGTGAACCACTGGGCTTAAACTAATAATTGTAAATACTTACTTCTGAGGATAAGAGGGTGATCGGGAACGTGACCGAGACCACTGACGTTGCCTTTGTCTGTAACGGTCAGTCTTTCTATGATAGCTGTCACGGCGCGGAAGACGAGAGGAATAGTTTCTCCCTGTGTAGTCAGGTGAAGGTGATCGAGTTCTACAATAGGACATGGAAAATTCCGATGCAGACGCCGATCCATTTTCGTATCTGAGAGGAAAATTTCTTAAAATTAGATTAACGAAAACAGCTTCCATTTTATACATTCAACTTTTACACAATTTATTCGTACATTTTTCAATGGTCTGACATGTAATTCAAATTGGAATGAGAATTATTTCACCCAACTTCAAGTTCAATCCGTTTTCAAAGTAGTTAAAAAAAAAAAAAAAAAACAACAATTCCCAAAAGCAGATTCAAAATCTGTAAATCGGGAGAAAATTTGAGATGAAAGACGAGAAAGGGAAATCACTTGGTTAAAGAGAGAAAATAAAACAACCTTTAATATTCTGTAGGCGACTATTTTTGTCAAGTAAAATGTTAGTCCTGCCAATGCAAGAATTTCTTGGCTGTGAAGTCATGTTCTTCCATGGCAACACCTAAAACAATCTTGACTGAAATTGAGAGCCAGGCTATTGTAATTTCAAATATATAGAACTATTATATAAACATTATATTTTGAGAGGATTCCAATATAGAGTAAAAGGGGCAAGGAATATTAATAAACAATGGAGAGGGCTAAACGATGAAAATCAATTGCAAAAGTTCAACAATGTACATTCTTCATTTTTTATTTGCAATATCTAAACTTTGTATTTTTGATACGAATACGTTTGCCAAGATGGACGAATTGCGCTAATCACCCATAACCTCAGCCTCAAAAGCAGGATCTGCTTGACTGGGGAGTTGCAGAGGAGGAGGAAAAAAAAAAAAGAAAAAGATTTCCATATTTAAAATTTGTGCAGGTTAGGATGATTTTTTTTATTCAGCAGATCATGTTATTTTATAAATTATGTCTTCAGAGTGTTGACATTCTAATGACAGACACTACGGAAAGATCACCTAAAATCACCTGCATCACCACAAGCATATGGAAGACGTAAAACGGGCATCTGGCTATTGTCAGGTCAATAACAACATTTGGCCTCAAACTTATTGTCTTCTGTCCAAACTAGAAAGCACAGAGGATAGGGTCATCTCAAAATTTCAAAGAGTGCCCCTCCTTATCCCCACCAGGACATCACTTGCAAAACTGAATAAACACATAACTGCCATGGATACAACTTTCCAAGGAAGCTAGTTTGTTTGATCCACCCCCTGTAGAAGCCTAGAATATTGACAGTTCAGTAACCATTAACATCTTACAAAACCCTTCAAATGCTCTTATTGAACAGTTCCAAATGTATGGGAATTACCAAATCTTTTTAATGTTACAGAATTTTGGAATGTATATCAGAGCAGATATCCTCTTTTGGTATGAAGTGATGACAATCTCTTCTTAAAGAAGAAAATCTGCTCCAAAGATAATTATGCACAACATTCTATTGTTTTATGTAATGATTTTTTTTTTTTTTGTTACTTTTACATATAATTTGTTTTTCAATTTGAATTTATTTTCATTTGTTTTAATTTTTTATTGGAAGATATTATCTGCTTGCTATTTCTTTCTATGTAATACAGACCTCCCAACCTAATCTTTCAAGTAATTTGATAATTTCCATGAAAAATTCTGCTGAAATTCCAATTTTGTCAAACTTCATGCTTTTACAAGTTTGCTATCACTCTTTCCAGTACTGATGGGAGTTTCCTTCCTAAACTTTAGAGTTACATATGATACCCATTTTAACTGTTTCTGCTGTTGAAAGTTTTCAAGCAAGATATTTCCATTATTTGCTACAGTTCATTGCAATTCTGTCATAATAGTCTTCAGGTTTTATTCACTCAAAGCCATTGTTAAGTGGCTATCTGAGTAAGCAGTTGTAAATTTCTCGGGCTAATGTCCTCAGCTGACATGAAGTGGAAAGACTATATTTAATCCATTGCTAGGTCAGCTGCTAAAAAAGTTTGGTCATTGTGTTTTACAAGACAATTTTTCTTTCCAAAATCTCTTACATATCTACAAGTCTACCATTCATCCATGCTTAGAATATTGCTGCCACATATAGTCCAGTGCCTTGGCTATTTACTTTGAGCTCCTTGATAAAATCCAAAGAAGAATCAGCAATATTATTGGTCCTGATCTAGTAGCTTGGCTTCACTAACTTTCCACTGCCACAAGGTTGCCTGTCTTTTTTTTTAAAATATTTTCATGGTGATTGTTTGGATGAGCTCTTCCCTATGGTACCTAGACTTTAAAAAAAAAAAAAAATCCAAGTGCAATACTAGACTGGCACCAATACCTCATCGATTTACAGACAATCTGGCTAGATGTAGGCGTAAGTTCTATGCTAACAGTTTTTCTCACAATTCTCGCTTGTGGAACTCCCTTCTGGCTTCATGCTTTCCAGTCAACTTTAATTTGCAAAAATTTAAATGCAATGTCAATTGCTATCTACTGTCCTGATTACACTCTTCTCATCATTAATGTTTCTTCCACGCCCTTGTGTCTTAGTGGCTTTACTACCTAGCATGGGGTAAGACAGATCACACACACACAAAAAAAAAAAAAAAAAAAAAAAAAACAACCACCCAAACAGCTGATCTGACAGCTTTGATATATCTGAATGTTTGGTACCACGCATAGCATCCATCTGAAAGTTTCAATCTAACAAGGGTAAAAACCGCCAACTCATGTTTTTAAGCTAATGTTTTGGTTTTGTAAAAAATTTGTTGTGTTGATATTTCCTTTTCTGTTTGTTATAACCTATCTATACACTAGGGTATTTGGAGCAAATTTAGGATGTGGAATTAGTACAATTCCACATCCTAAATTTGCTCCAAGATTAGGTGCCATCACACACACTGTTCATTCCATTTCCAGATCCTAGTTTCCATTTTGGGAAGGGTATGCTAAAGTGTATAGCTAAAAAGAGGAAGAGACAAAGAAATGCACATTGTAGAATAGAAAGTTTCTCATGTACAATGTAACATCTCTAGTCCAATTATCTAATCTGGACAAGTTTATCATTTTCTTGACTGAACATTACACAACTTAAAATGTCATTTGGTTCTTTTCTGATGTTCTTTTTCAACTTAAAGCTTTTCATCTAAAATTTTAATTCATTCAGTTGTCTTTTGCATTCCTGGTAACATTTTAATTCTTCTTCCTAGTGAGTATTAGAAAAAAAAAAAAAAAAAAAATTCCCTTGGGTACAATGATTAGTTTGGTTGATTTTGTTAAGCAGCATATCAACCTATTAGGGTTATTTAATGCTGAAAACCAAAATATTTTAAATGCAATTGTATGCCTTCAACTAGAGAAAATGCATCGTTGATAATTTTGCTTTCAAATCGTGTTGGTAATTTTACTATAAATACATAGTGCTGCTAATTTTTTTTTTTATATATAAAAATGTATTGCTGGTATTTTTACTGTAAAAATGTATTTCTATATTTTCATAGTGTTTTTTGTTTCGAGGTTTGCTATTTGCTCATAGCTGGGATCCTAACAGGTGTTACTGAGCCCGGTCAGCGCGACCTGGGAGCAACAGCAATTAAGTGGTTCCATGCCCACAGATGTAGTTCATCATACCCAGGAATAGGGATATATAACATGTAATTATATATATATATATATATATATATATATATATATACACACACACACATACACAAACGAGAGAGGAATTATCTACCAATATTTGCATTTACAGAAAAATCATTTTCAACATTTTTTTTTTTTCCATTGGGAAATGTCAAAGAATCAATTGGCATTTACTTCACAATTTTAAAAATTCTACCTTTGAGGCAATGATGTCATAACAAAATACATCCAGATGGTCCTTGTTTCAGTTAAACCTACTGAACAATTTCAATCATTCATCTGAAGCTTGAAACACTGCTGTGAAAAAAAAACTAGTTTAACTTTGCCTGCAATCACTGACAGTCATCATTTCCTATTAAATATTACTGGAATATGGGATTCCATTTTCTTTTTTGAAGCCTTGAAATTCAAAAGGCTATCCTAGAAAACAAATATATATATCATATAAATAACATTTTGCTGTTATTCTCAAACTATATATGAAGAAATATAGTTTTATGGTGGGGTCTATTTATGGGATAAAGTGTTCAATATCAGAGATAGAGTGTATGTAAATATAAAAGTGGACATAAAAGTCAATACTCAGAGACTGTTTCATGCTAGGCGCAATTGTCAGGCTGTGAATGTTGGATTTTTCCTCAACTATATATATATATATATATATATATATATATATATATGGGTCAGTGGTGCATTGTGGGTAATCTATTCTGGCGGTTATTTTTGCGGAAGTGGTTTTTTTGTTCGTTTATTTGTTTGGGTTAATTTATTTTTCATTTTGTATTGTTCTTTTTGGTGTTTTATTAACATAGTAAAAAAAGATGTTTGGGGGATTTGCTTAGGTCACTTATTTAATAGTCTTGGTCTGAGAATATAATTAAGGCTATTTATTCATCCAATGTTATCTTGGAGGGAGGAACAGTTTCTTATTTATTTATTTGGATTTATTTTTACTTGTTTTTGCTTATTTATGCTTATTTATGCTTATTTATGCTTATTATTAGTTCTAACAGTTATTTTAGTGAGGGGCGATTTGTTCATTTATTTGGATTATTTTTTATCCGTTTTTATTTATTTACTTATTTATTTTGTATATTTTTATTTACTCTATTTGGTTTTCGATTTTTGAGTAACGTAGTAATTTTTTTTTTTCCATCAGCCTAGAATAGATGAAATAGAATAAATAAAACATAAAAAACAAGTAAAAATAATCAACCTAAATAAATGAAGTAAATAATAAACAAATTAACAAACCAATCCCACCAAAATAACCGTTAGAATGAATCTCAAAATTGGATGTAAAAATAGCTATAACGTCTATATAATGATTAAAAAAAAAAAAAAAAAAAATTATGTTACTCAAAAATAAGAAAAGTAAATAAATAAAAACAGATAAAAAAATATTCCAAATAAATGAACAAATCGCCCCTCGCTAAAATTACTGTTAGAACTAATAATAAGCATAAATAAGCAACCTAAAGAAATCCCCCAAACATTTTTTTTACTATGTTAATAAAACATCAAAAAAACCCAAAAAGAATAAATACAAAATGAAAAACAAATAAATTAACCCAAACAAATAAACAAGTCACTTCCGCAAAAATAACCACCAGAATAGATTACCCACAATTCACCACTGACCCATATATATATATATATATGAAAATTTCTCCGATTTAATCGGTAGAGAAGACAATATTTATGAATAAAAATGACAATAGGAAAACTGGTAATTGCTGACGCGTCAGCAATTACCATTTTTCTTATTGTCATTTTATTCATATATATATATATATATATATATATATATATATATATATATATATTATAGTTGAGAAAAAAAATCCAACATTCGCAGCCTGACGATTGCGCCTAGCATGAAACAGTCTGTCACCTCGAAAGTACCGACTTCAATGTTCACTTTACACACACTATATAATATAATATATATATATATATATATATATATATATATATATATATATATATATATATATATATATATATATATATATATATATATATATGTGCCACAAGGTGCCAAATAACTCCCTGCAGGTTTTTTGAATTCAGAGTTGTCCTTCTAGACCAGTTGCCATCCAAGGCTATAGAGCCCTGTCTGTCCTGTCTATTTACTCATACCTGGGGGAAGAAGAAGAGGATTCATACCTTTTCCCAAGTAATGGATTCAAACTGACACACACAATTTTTATATAGATTATATATGTGTGAGACTTATTAAGAAGCACTCAATATCAGTGATAGAGGTAACATTTTTAGTTGGATTGATGTGAGTTTGTGACCTCAGGTTTCATGCGCTTCACAATCGTCAAACTGATTGATTTTTAAATTTTGGATTTATGAATGTTTTTTCTCTCTCTCACACACACACACACACACACACGTGTATGTATGCACGTGCGTTCACACACCTATCCATCTGTTTTTCGTAGGGTAAAATTGTTATTTTTAATGCGGTTTTGCTATTATTTTATAGATGGATAGCATGTATATGAACACGCATGCATACATATATAGGTGTGTGTGAGTGCAAGAAAACATTATTCCGGACAAAATAGATGAATGGTCTGTGTGTTGACATTGCAACTTGTGAAAGATGTTCGCTACACAATCCAACAGTGAATACAGCAACCAATTGTGTATGTATGCACGGGACACATTGATGCACATATATGGCCAGACCCATGGTGTTCATATATGTTTATGTGAGCTGCAATGCGTAAACATATGTATGTATGTGTCTGTGAGTGGTGTCCCAACAACAATCCTTCCTCCCACTACCATAAAACATCATTATACACCACCATAAATAAATCCAAAATTTAAAAATGAAGTCTGTCTGACGATTGCAAAGAGTATGAAACCCAGGGTCACAAACTCACAGCAATCCAACTATATATATATATATATATATATATATATATATATATATATAAAAAGCAACGTTTGCTACGTGCCAAGTTGCATCAGAAGATTGGAATTATGTCTCCCCACCACCCACCCACCATTTAATAATAAAAGTATTTTATTTATTGCAATCTCACAAGATTGCATAAAAAAAAATTTTCAAAAGCAAAAACAGAATTAAAGAATATTCAGAATAGAAAATATATTCCCACTATATACCAAGTAATTACATGTCCCTAAATATATATATATATACACACACACACACGTTCCTAAATATTTAATGCTACTTTTTCATGGTTCTTTTGCTGCACCTTATTTTTCACATTCCCATCCATTCAAATCCATATAATCCCTTTGTATAGATTCAATATGAATGCAAGAACTTACAGAACTAGTCCAGAACACTACACTCTTGTTATTTAAGCCAAAGATTGTTCACTTCTTTTACTTGCCACTGGTATAAATGAGAAAAGACAAACTGAAGCCTGAATTAAAGGAAAGGGAAATAAAACAAAAACAAAAACAAAAAAAATAGATTCAAGACTTACACAGTAGAAGTGCTGCACCTGTTGTTTTTCTCTCGATCTGGACTAAAAGCTAACTTAATGCAAGACTCATCCCAAGAACGATTGCAAGATCCAGGAGGTGACTCAGGCTCTTGTTTGACATTGAGTCTTTGAAGCACATTTTTCTTAGTGCCAAGCCTTCCCAAGTTCAGGAGATATGCTGGAACTTTGTTGACCATATTTTCCTTACTCTCATCAGGAGAAATGGAATCAGAATCTGACGTTTCTGACGAAGTCTGCGACAGGGAAGTAAGGGGAGAGACCGACCGATTCCCATTCACTACACTCCCTACCACAGATTGTTCCATCTGAGGAACAAAATTGTTAGGGAGAACTCCTGCCACAATTTCTTCCTCAGTTTGAACAACAACTTCAGACACAGAACATTCCACAATTTCATCCTCAACATCGAGTCGGTCTAGATAAAGACTATCCAAATCAACTGATGAATCGGAGTGTTTGGCAAAGCTTGGCACTGAGTAAAACCCTGGCTCTTGCAATATGTCCAAAAAATCGGAATCAGCCTGATTCACATAATTATTGATAGCAGCAGCAGCATCTGACACAGTCATAATTTCCTCATCTTCATCCTCCTCCTCTGATAAATGAGAAATAACAGATCTTTCACTATCAGGAGAAGTACTGTTTGCCAACTCTTCTATTTCTTGCCACCAAAGGCCAGTGCGCAGACCAAGTGTATCAGTATATCCTAACAAACACCTGTTATCACTGGTTTTTTCTACCCAATTTGATGGATCATTCAAATCTGACTCAATTTCCTTGAGTATATTTTGATACATTGGACAACTGGCTGCAGCATTATTGTGCTCATTAGAGTAACAAAGTTCGGCTTCTTCATCAATGAACTTAGACTCTGTTGAAAACTCATCACAGCCATACAACATAACCACAGACTTTCCACTTTGAGACGGTTTCTCATTCTTATCTATTAAATCTCCACTCCCATTTAATATTATAGAACCATCATTCTCTGTGTCCGAACATTCCATATCAACTACTTCCAAGTTGTCTAGCACATCGCTCTCATTCTTTCTCTCACTAACAACTGTGGCATTTGCCGCCTTCTTTTTAGGAATGATAAAGGTTCGTTTCAATCTTCTCTCGACTGGCTTTTCTTCGAGAACCGTGCGCGAGTAGTCATGGTCCAACAGTACAGAAATGGACTGACTACTTTTTTCAACAAGTTTCTTCTTTGGCGCACTTGCCTCAATGTATTTAACAAGGTTCTTTGGCTTCAATAATTCTGGTAAATTTTCCTGATTTTGATTGTCTGTGCTTCTCACAGACAGAGGAGGTAAAGAAAAAGAAGTGGATGACAGTGGTTGCCTTTCATCCCCTAATTGGCATTTTGCAGATGCGGCTGCAGCTGTTCTTGGGAAATGATTTGAAATTGGCTCTTGGGCTATCACAGTCTTGCTTGTAGTTGACACTGATTCTTTATCTGAAAAGAAATTTACATTTGAAACTTATTAAAAAAAAAAAAAAAAAAAAAAAAAAAAAAAAAAATACATGTACAAATATTTAAACTTTGATAATCCACATTATATTCTATAGTTATCCATCTTTGGATATATTAGGTGATATATTAGGAATAGACAAAAATCTTGATAAATAAAACTTTGTAATTATTTAATAGAACAGAATGTTTATTTGTCAATTTATTTTTTTGGTTGCAGGGTGGATCAAAATATTTAGATAAATGCATGTATACATGCAGAGAAATTGAAATTGCAACAGTGTAAAGGACACTTGCCAACTTTGATCCAGTTCCAATATGTGTATGTAAATAGATATTCTGATAAGTTTTCTTTCACCAGCGATTGTAATAATACTCATAACATGCTGTTTTTTGTGGTAAAAGATATTTCACTTGATGTTTTTTTTTTCTTGTCAAATAATAGCTTTGCATATTTTAAGTCTTTCCTTGTAGTGAGTACTGCATAGTAATTTGATTCTTATCAACTAATATTTGTCTTATGATGGCAGCATGATTATGCTTGTTTGTGATATAATGGTCAAACTGCACACAAATTCTAAATTTTGCTAACTGACAAGTTAACCTACAAGAGTGTGGTGCATGTGCGTGGCCAATGTAAGAATACACACAAGAGGCATAGAAAAGAAATTTGGTCATTTAATCAGGTCTGGAGAAATGAGTTAGAACAAGAATGTGTGCATAAAAAACACTATCAAGATTTACTAAATGGTGAGATGGGAAAAATATCTCTAAATTCTGATGAAATTTGTTATTTTAAACTGGTCATTAGTATAGTCAATTATAAAGGATTTCACAAACTTATGTTTTTCTTTAAATTTAGTCATGATTTAAATTCTTTCTCATAAATCTTAATATTTTTCAATAGCATCAATATGGAAAAAGCATAAAAAAAAAAAAATCTCACAAACCTTTCTGATGAGTGTTCACTGGTTTTATCATAATTTTATTTGTCACTGGGTCTCTCACAGATGCCAAATTTTTTAGGTCAAAGTTCACCAGACCAGATGCTGCTTCAACACCATTATGCATAGACGTAGATATGTGTGTGGAGTGTGAAATTAGGGAGATAGAAGTACCGTGTGTTGGTGAAGGAGTGCGTGACATGTGCAGAATTGGGGAACTGTGTGTTGATGAAGGCAGAATTGGGGAACTTTGTGTGGATGATGACATACTCGAGGTGTGTAAAATCGGGGAACTGTCTGTAGACGACGGAGAATTTTGGGAGGATGCGAGCCTAGATGAAGAGGCATATCTGTAAGAATGTGTGTTCTTGATGGATGAGGTCTGGGTGCTGGAAAACCTCTTCATGTGTGATGGATATTCTCCAAATTTGTTGAAGTGATTAAATTTCATTAAATTATTTACTGGTTGCTGGAGTTGATTACAATGTTCATTTGCTGGTTCTAGGTTTTCTTGAGGTGGTCGGTTTGAACTAGAAAATAAGAAATTTTTCCCTTCTGAAACACTCAAAAGGATTCAAAAGTCTAGTGTCTTCATTCTAAGATAAGTGCATAGTAGGCCCCTCACCATCAGTGCAATTAAAACTTAAAAGATGCAAAAATTATTAAACAGATATTAACAATAATTTTTTTTTTTTTTTAAATAAATTGTAGAAATACGTCATCAGTATTAAAAGTATTTTAAAAATATTTAAATAATAATCAGAGACTATGTTTTTTATCAAATCACATTCAAGCTTAATATGTAAGAATTCTATTTAAATAAATGTAAAGATGGATGTGGTTGAAAGTAGACTCACCATGAGGTTTTTCTTGAAATAACAGGATAATAATCTAAAAGGAAAATAAAAAAAGTGAACATTAAACAGTAAACACTCATTGAAAAGAAAGAATTCTTTGGCATATCTGAGAAATTCGGCTGAACTTTTATCAGCAGCAGATTTGTCAGAAAATATTTTCTAGTTGGGAATACAAAGCAGACACCAAGCGATTAAAAAATTTTGTTAAAGAATAATTAACTAACTTATTTTTTGGTCACTATGGCTACAGTGCGATAAAGAAAAGCGATTTTTACTTTGTCTTTAAAGTGTTTAGTGAAGATGAAAATATTTTATAGCAGAAAAAGTTGAAATAAGAATTGAAACTTGATTGCAAGCTCAAGAGAAAAAAGTTTCACGTTCAACTAATTTTTACCACAATAGGTCATTAAGTGTGATGTACACAAAAAAAAGTAACAAAACACTGAATTATGAGAACTAGGCTTTTTACCTGATGAGGCCAGAAAGTCTTCAAATTGAAGAAGCAGTTTTGAATTAGTGTTGGCAGTAATAACATATATTGAAAAGTATTCTGAAATTAAAAGCCACGTGGTGTTAAAATTGTCATTACTATCAGAAAAGAAAAGCTAAGCGCAGCTGAAATTATAACCTAATTTATTAAGAGAAAATTCATCGTAGGCGACCAAGAGGCTAGACAATATATTAGCAGACCAATAATTTATTTTTAATATATGAATAAGTAAATGGTGCACTTCATCGTAAAAAGGTTTTAATAACAGATGACTCTTGGGTTTGGGGTTATCATCGATAAACTATTTTCAACTATACAATGTAGGTAGTTAGTTAAAGAAAAAAACACCAACTGATTGCCCCCACAAATACCCCACCCCGCCATATGCATGAAAATAAAATTCGTCTTTAGAGTAACATTTGGTTCCAGCGATTTCCATTTCATTTTAGAATAAAAAAAGGTGAAATATTCGGCGAGTGACTATTTTATGAGGGAAGCTGATATCTTGCAAAATTGTACAAGAAGAAATAATCACGACAGAGAAATTAACTGTTATTTTAAAAAAGAAAAGAACAAAAAAGCGACCTTAATTTTTTTCTAGTATGCAATGCATGGAAAAACAGTTGTTAGAAAAAAAAAAAAAAAAAAGGGAACTTTGAGATAAATTAAGAAAATGTATCCAACTCGAAGTCCTGAAATATCGTAGTTTAAATATTTTAAAAAAAAAAAAAAAAAAAAAAAAAAAAAATGAAATGTGATAGTATCGGTTTCCTCAAATTATTTATTCAGTTTCATTTCAAAAGAGATCTTTGTTTTTAATGCAAAGTTGAAAACTCAGCTTTTCGCAACGTGTCACAATTTATTTCACATCCAACACGTGTTGGGAGACTTTTTTTTTCTATTTAATTGTATCAGACACGGTAATAAAAGAAATAGTACAAATTTTACTTACCATCGTTGGTAGAATTAATTCGTCTGTAAAAGAAATAACAATAATTAAGAAAAAGTCCTTAAAAAAAAAAAAAAAAAAAAAAAAAAAAAAAAAAAATGAAGTTTTCTTCAACAAGGTCTATAAAAAAGCGACGATGGAGGATGACATGTGGGGGAGGGCGGTGGTGGACACAACAGGTTTTCTCAACAACAAAAGACGACAATTTCATCGTTTGAACTAAAACAAAGTTTAAACAGATTTAAAGTTATATTTACATTTTTCAAAACAAAATTACGTAAAAGATAGAGAAAAGTGAAGAAAAAAAAAAACAAAAAAAAAAAAAACGTTGTGATACGTATCATGCTTAGCTTACAATGAGGAGGCATGATTGTTGAAAGTGTGTCGGTTATAATAGGTAAATTGGCCTTTCTTTTTTTTAGAACAACGATTCAAAAGAAAAAGAAAAATAGTAAATTGTATTCGAATAAAAAAAAAAAAAAAAAAAAGTTTTGAAGGGGTGGAGAAAATTAAAATAGCTAAGTTACAAACTTCAAAATACCGGAACTGCGAAGAATTCGGTCAAAAAAATAAAAAATAAAAATAAATAATAAAACGATGGGTGTAGTTGGGGGGGGGGGCTTTGTTAAAAATTGCAAACAAATTAAAACGAAAACATAAGTCTATTTTTTTAAATTTTTATTAAGACAAAAATAATATGGGCGTTAATGGCCTGGCACGAAATATACAGTTTACATTATTTTTTGATCGAGTGTCGAAATAATTGATCCACATGGAAAGAGAAGAAAAAGAATATTGATGATAAATAAAAGAAACGACTTGAAAAATCTTTCAGATTTGTTATTTCCCGCCATTTCCAAGACAACGCTGAAAACCTGTGCATGACCCATGACAATACATTAATAATTAATAATACAAAGTGGGTAGCGAGTACGGATAATTTATTTTAACTCGATCAGTAAATGAGAAATAAAAAATTCTCGATTAATGAATGCTAAGCAACATATGTTTTCCCTTTAAAAACGAAGGAAAATGGGAAGCAAGAAAACGGTTATTAAATTACAGAAAATCTAGTAAAAAATCCTTTAAGGACAAATATTTCAATGAGGAATGGTAAAAAAAAAAAATTCAAAAGGCCAAGACAAAAAGTGAAGACAATTCAAACCACAAAATATTTGTCAGGTTTTTCTTTTTTAAATATTTTAATCAAACGAGTTTATGTAAAATAATAAAATTATAATAATATCAGCTGAGACTTCATTCATTTGTCGTCCCCACCCCACGGGCAGAATGTAAGGGTTAACCCGATCTGGGATTGTCAACTTCCTAAATATGGACGCAGTAATTGACAAGAAGCCGTAAGGCTTTTTTTTTTTTTTTTTTAAGTTAAAAATGACAGCAGCTGATATTTTAGGGATAAGAAAACATTAAAACAAAATGTTTTATTTTTTTATTATTATTATTTAAATAAAATAAAACCCCAAAAACCTTTTTGATCAGTAAATAAAAAAAGTTGATATGTTGCAAACCTTTCCATAAAAAAACCGGTTTCGTTTTTATTCCCGGAACCAAAGATTATAGCTTTCCTACACTCGGAAAACACAACACAATCTTAAATCCCCTTTTTCATTTTTGTTACAAAATGAGCTAAAAAGATCATTAAAGAAACTATGGAAAGGAAGACACCGGGGTCGAGTGACACTTAGATTAGAATTCCATATTAGACAGAATGTTGTATCTTCTTCCACAAGTTGATAACCACCCAACAAAGCCAGTCTCACGTGCCTTTTAAGAGCCGGGTGCGAATACAACATGCCTCATCTTTATTCACTAGAAGGAAAGAATTTAAAAGGTACCAACATACCAATGCAATAGTTTTTTTTTTATAAACACATTTAGTGAAAACAAAATTTTGAATTTATGATGTATGTAAAAAAAAAAATGATGCGAATCTTTTACTTTTCCTAATAGAAAAAAAAAGACAATCCTCGTCGCCATCAAATATCAGTTGGTATCTTCCAATTAATTACATCAACTAATATGTTGGTTTCTAAAATCAAGTAAATAAAAAGACAAACGAAACTAGTCACAAAAGTGACTATTTAGGACAATAGAATAAAAGTACTTTGTAAATGTAAGTAAAAAAAGAAGCTTAAGTGGTGGGAGACATACCGGCCTCCTTTCATGACGAAGTTAGGCTTTCTTTATGACGACGACTACTGGTCTTACTAATAAAAGACTAAAAATAGGAGTACCGTATTACATTTTTTTTTTCTTCAAATTGAGACGAAAAATGAGGACTAATAAAAAGAAAGGCAAATAAATAACAGACATGAATCTTATAACACTAAAAGTAAGCGAGGTCTAAGAAGCGGATAAAATGACCATATTGTGGTCAGGTGTAAAAAGTGCGTTGGGGAGGCGGTGGCGGTTATAGGGTGGGGCTGGAGGACAATGCTACCACTTTAGTTAAGTTTGTAAACAATCAAGATGTGATTACAAGTTAAACATTTAGATTAATTTAATTACACAAACAACACAACCTACAATAAGAATTATTATCTTCGGAAGAAATAAAAATTTAAAGAAAAAAAATAATTAATATTTCTAATTCCTTCCACCCAGCCTTTCTACCCGGTAGAGTTAAAATTTATTAATTAAAAAAAAAAAAAATAAATAATATTACTCCAACCAAAAGTAATCATTAGTAAGCTATTTGAGAGTTCTAGAAAATCTTACCTACTAAGGCTGTAATTAGAGTTTTTGACTACCACGCGCTATAAATATACATTGGTGTTAATCAGTTTACTTACTACTTCAAATTTATCTGAATTTAAGGAATTTTCAGAATTTATTTAGTACGAGAAAAAAATAGTTTAAAATTAAAATATCTCATTGACAAGGAAGGAATAGATCACAATATGTTGGACTTTTAAAAAATTAAACGATAAAAAAAAAAAAGAAAGCAAGCAATTATTGTCTATTTGTAACAAAAAGTATTGTACACGTGTTTAGTCGGGTCACTTTTTTTAAAAGTGCTTTTTCTTTCTAAACCTTTGAGTATCCAATAAAAAGAAACTCAAAATAAATAAAATGAATCTATTCTGACAATTAAAACAAACATTTCATTGTAAATGATTTATTAATTATAAATTAAAAGACATTCCTGAAGGTAACCTCATTTTTTTATAGACACGACTAAACAATCGATATGACATATTTTCAATAAAGTCGATCTAAAGAGAAAAGTAAACAAAGAAATAAGACTAAATTTTTAAGTAACATTTTATAAAAGATAAGTATCGACAGTTTTTTTAAAGGTCGATTTTTCACAAGCCTGAAACTTTAAATAAAGTTTCAAAGCTTTTCACTTGATATATTTTTAAAACGCATTTAAAAAGCAAGAAAAACATTCAGAGAGATAAAGAACTAATATCAGTTTAAGGAATAAATAAGCTTCCTAGTATTTAGGATTTTTCTTAGATGGATTTTTAAAAAATATAAATGAAATTCGAAAGACTTAACAAAAAATATAAAACTTAAAACTAAAAGGAAGACTCCCTGTCACGTGAGAACAGTGAAAGGAATAAAAAGAAATCACTTAACACATGGTTAAGTTTTAATAAAATCAATTTTTTTTAAAATTAATCTATTAGATGTTTAAATAGAAAAATAAAAGTGTCGGTCATAGAAGAAAAATAAAAATTAAAGTTAAAAAGAAAAAAATAATCATAATAATGCAGCCGGACCAAAAGTCGGGGACTTTTCTTAAACGAAAAAGTCTCCTAAATAAATCCTCCAATTTGAGGCCATTAATATTTACGTTCAGGACAGCCTCAAAGAAGACTTATTTTTTAAATTTGCGCAGTAGATTTCATAATCGCTTCATTTTACAATATATTAGACTTTATTGGTCCATTTGGAATTATTTGGGTTTTTGAGAGTCGAAAAATAAGACACGAAGCCGAAAAAAAACCGACTGTAGTAGAGAGAAAATAGTTATGTCGAGACAAGAAGATAAATAACACGTGGCTGAGTAAAAAATTACAAAAAAAAAAAAAAGAAGCCGATGACCATATAAACTTAACGAATAAATAAAGAAATAACATTTAAATAACTTACGTGGACATTTCCATCTTAATACGTTGGGTTAATCCAATGAATCAAAACATCACAGTTAAAATAAATCAAAACTCAAAAGCCACAATTTTTTTTTTTTATTTAGTGGCAAAGAGCGGACATGAAACAAAAATGTAGTGTAGACGAACCGAGGCGCATAAATTCGCTCTTTTAACAATTTTTAGTGGAAAAAAAAAAACAACACGTGGGATGTATCTTTTTTTCCCCCCTTGTCCCTGCCAAAGTGTCTTAAGGGATCACCAATATTAATTTCGGACTCTCCCTGTAAGGTCTTATATATATTATGATGAGATGTTGTCGGTTCATGTTGGACACTGCACAAATGCTCTCAATTCAACTGTTCCCCTCCCACTCAGGTTGGGACTTATAGCGCAGACTTTCTTCAATCAGCAGACCCCCACCCGCAACATTCTAGTAGTACTAGTTGTCTTTTCTAAATTTTCCTAACACTCCTTTTCGCCGTCTTCCTCTTTCCTCTTAACTCCTGCTTCTTTTCTCTCTCAAGGGGCTTTTACGGCAATTATGTTTTTTTTTTTTTCATTATTTAAATTTTTGGAGGCGGGGTCTTTGTCCAGGGACATATCCTTAGGGTGTGTGCTCTTTAAAAAAAATTCTATTTAAATACGTAGTAAATGTTCCAAATTTCTTTTATTGATTGCATTAAAAAAAATCTTGCAAAAATTATGAATTTAATTTTTGAAAGTTTTTATTAAATTCTGGATGCAGCTTTAACTTTTTATTTACTAACAATATTGAAGCTTAGGGCACCCAAGGGTGTTCTTCGTTTTTTAGAATGACACAAGGCCACGTAAGTAGAGCGACTAGGATTTTACAACGGCTCAACAAATCACCTCTTAATGTTTATTGATTGAAAAATATATAGATATATATTAATTATTAATTAATTCAGAATGATTGAATAAATTGTATTATTATTATTGATTAAAAATCATAAGGGAAAAATCTTTTAAAAAAATCAATGGCTATTGATGATGATGAATAAATAAAAATAGCTTCATCGAAACATACAATATTCATTTTAGTTTTTTACTTGAATGAAGAAAATTGTCTCCAAGTGAGAAAGTGAGTAAAAAAAAACTTGTTTCTAGTGTCCTTTTTCTTTCTTTCCTTTTTTCTTTCTTTCCTTTTTTTCTTTCCTTTTTCTTTCTTACCTTTTTTTTTAATTTCAAAATAAATGAAAATATCTCTTTAACTGGACTACTTAATTCAATTAATCACCTCCTAAGTATTTGTAAATAATTAGGGCTTTCTCAAATTTTGAAATATTTGTAAATATAACAAAATAATAGCTATCAGATTCTAAATTTCATTTGGTTTAAAAATAAAATTTATTGTCTTAGATGGATTCAGTCACATTAAACTTGTTTTTCTTTTTCAAATTAATTGATAAAAAGTTAATAAACTATTTGGATGTACTCCTCAAAGTCTCTTCCTAAATGTTTTCTTCTTTCCCTCTAGCTGCTCCCCATCTCTCTCTCTCTCTCTCTCTCTAGAAAATTATTAATTTTCAGTTCCTTGTGACACTTTCATCAAATTTGGAAATTGCATATATGAAGATTTCCTTTTTACAAAAATCTAGTTTGGTTAAAAATAAAAACGTACTTCTGTTGCAAATAGAATTGTGATGTATGAATGAATGAATAAATAAATAAATATAATAATAATAATGATACAACAACATGGATTTTGGTGATAAATCCTTGGAATGAGTTTATTATTCATTTTTCTTGCTTTTGGAAAGAAGGATTTAACTATCTACAAACACGGTAACTGACCTTTGATGCAATATTTTTTTCTGCTAGTTGCTAAAAAGATGGATATTTTTCAAAATCTCTTTTATTAAACACTGTTTAATGACTAAAAATATAGAAATGATTTAATCATTAAATATTTATTCATCTTTTCATTTATATTTTCTACTTGATGTCAATCTCTAGCTATTTATGTATTTGTCTTTTAATCACAAGAGGAAAAAAATTGATTGAATGAATTAATAAATTCATTCTTGTGAAGATAACATTGGTTTCTCTCATAAAAAATATTTGATTGATTTCAAAACTATATTATCATTGTGGAATTTTGGGGTTCAGAAAGCATGACCCAATGCTTCTATTGAAAGAATCAAATTTTTTTGGCCTAGCATCAAGCAGTTGACTTGACCCTTCAACATTTTTGGCGGCATACCTGCATGACTCATCCTGGCATCTTGGGGGTGTATGACAACACAACTCCCTCTGCCAATCAACACCCAGCCCTTCTGGAAATAGCCAAGTTAAGGAGGGATTCATGACCAGCCAATCACTCTCTTTAAATTTGTTATTATGAGGACCATGCAAGGCCTAATGCCAAAGGGGCTTGGGCAATTTTTCCACGGTGTTGCTGTTAAACCCACTTTAAATCTTGACTTTGAGCCACATTCAGCAGTGACGTGTATGCACTGAAAAATAAATATTTAAGAAGATAAAAACTCATGAGATGGAGTCGAATATTACTGTTTTCATGACATTGTTGCTCCTGGACTAAATTCCTAGCCCTGCAAGAAGAGTGAATACATCCAGATTCAAACCCAACTTCATACCACTGATTCCAGAGACAACAAATTTATAGCTGCATCCAGGGACTAAACCTCAAAGTCAAAAAATACTTTCATCTAAATACAACAGCAATACAGGAAGGCCCCTTTTGTAGTGAAGTATTGTTTCTCTTATGATTCCATTTTCTCTCTAGAATTTTGCAGGTATTCACATTTTTTATGTAAATTAATAATAATGAATACTCTTGCATTTTTTTTACATGTCTTTGGGACTTACCCGTTTTTTTAACATCCATGTGCAAATGTTGCTTCTCTTTGAAAGTCTGTGTTTGCCTTTCAGTGTTAATTGGATTTATATTGTGTTATTTGTAATGGAAAGGAAATGTTTTGATTTTTTACAATGTGCATGAATTATTTCACAAAATCTTATTAGCCTAAAATTTCATATTTTCCACACACAATGCAATAATATCCCCAGGATAACCTGTAACAGCTTCTTTTTTTCTTTTCTTTTTTTTGCAATAAACTTTTTATAATTCTTCACCTGTGTCTTCCATGTCATGTGTGCCACTATTGTTACTCCCATTTTTTCCATACTCTCTACAAATATGGTTAAACAGTTTGTTGTAAAAAAAATGTTATACATTTGCAAATGGTTTTTCTGATTGATTATAATGTAAATAGTGTATATTGAATAAATATGAGGTGACTGAAAATTCCCAAATCCAACCAAGAAGCCCTTAAAAAAATGTTATGTTTGATCATTTGGCCAGAGTTTAGAAAGTGTGTCAAACAGAACTTTTCAGCTCCTCTTGAAGAAAATAAATTAATTCAATAATAATAATTATTATTACCTTAATTTATGTAATATTTTCCATTATAAATAGGGTTTTTAAGCAAGTAGAGACTTCCATAATCTATGTTATTGTTGCAGCATATATATTGTAGCCATAGCAGCAGTGGTGAGTTTAGGGCAAGATAGTCTGACAGAGCACATCCATATTTAGGTTGGTTTGAATTCAGAGTTTTCCTTCTCCTAGACTGGTTGTCACCTCAAGGCAAGAGAACCCAGGCAACGAGGGGAAGAAGATATAGTTTCATACCTTTCCTAAGAGTATCTGTATGAAAGTTAAAATGAAAAACTTAAAATTTGGTTAACCAATTTCTCTTTCTGAGTTACTGTTACACTTATTAATATGACACAAGAGAAGCTATAAAAAATGCAAATCAAGCATTTAGCAAAATTTACTTCAGCAATCATGCACAAACTCTTTAAAATGAAGATATTTAAATATATTCCTATAAAGTCTCTTTTTGAAAGTTTTTCAACATTCCTTTGATAAGAATAAAAATGTAAACATTATTTTAGTACAGTCAAACTATGACTAAATTAAAAATTACGAAAATACACTTGGCTCCTTTATCGTTATGAAGTTTGTTCTTTGTTAAATTTGTTAATGAAATGTGTAACAAAAGATGTATGCAGTGAATGTAGAAAAAAACATCAATTCTTTAAATATAATCTTAATAGTCATTGAAAGTGATTTCTCAAAAAACTATCTAAAAGTTGACATCTCATTGACAAACAGGATCAGCAGTTAGGTTGCTGATTATTTAGCTATCCGCCATGCTGTTCGAGTTAAGCAAATTATTGGGCATGATTTTGTAATTAGCAAAATAAAAGTTGTATTTTTTATTTTAAATAGATTATGCAAATTTCTCATCAATTTAAGAATAAAAAAAGTTCTTTATTTCATAGATTAAAATGACCTCAGGTTAAAATCTTGAAAAGAGTAAAAAGTTTTTTTTTCAAATTATTTTCATCAGTGGCATAGCTAGTGTTTTTGTTGCCCCTCTCCAGAGGGAATACAATATTATAATGCACATTAGCCCCTTAAAGTTTATAAAGTGAACAATGAAATTATTTGTACACCCATCGATTTTTAATATTTTTATCCATTTCTCAGAATCTAATGCCCATATGAGGCCAGGTTTTTTATATGTTAATAAGCACACAAAAAGGAATATATATTTATTATGTATTTGATACATAATTGTGGCACAAGGCTGAAGGGGGAAGTGGGTTAAGGCTGGTCATCAGTAACTATCCTAGTTAACTGGATTCCCAACCCATTCATTCAATACAATATACACAGTCACCACAAGAATTTATCCATCGCCATTCACTCCTACAATTACCACAATGCCTCATATTCACAGGGAAACAAAAATTATTGAAATTATGCTATTGTTTGTTTATTTTCTGGAAACTCACCACAGATCAACTGTGCCACCCAGGGAAGACCACCCCTCCACTCCTCTAGCTATGCTACTGATTTTCATAGACTTTTCATACATTAGTAAAAGTTCTCATTTCTATCATTAAAAAGTTGTTTTTATTTTCTTTCCTCTAATCACAAGAATTTTATTTTTTGTAGATCT